TTGTGATCCACGCTTTAAGATTGAAAATTATAAAATTCTAATTGACTATTACTACAGTTGTTTTTTAGATGAAAATAATTATTACTACAGCCATTTAATAGAATGGGAAAAAGAAAGAGATAATGTTATAACTCTTTTTGAGGTTTTATTTAAGGAATATCAAGGGTTATACGGTAATGTACCAGAAGAAACAGCACCTCCTCCGCCCCCCAAATCAAGAAAAAGGTTTTAAAGGAATAGTCGGTGGGCTTCTTGCAAAGAAAGGGAAGCGTGCTCAGCTTTCGAAAAGTTCAAGTGGTACAACAATAAGCTCTTACAACGAACTTGCTATGTACCAAGGGGTGCCATGAGATTACGGCGACGACGACGACGTGGAGTTTGACGTCCTTGGATGGTGGAAGCGGAACGAACACATGTTCCCATGTCTCGGAATGCTAACAAGACAAGTGTTGTCCGTCCCGGTATCAACCGTAGCAGTGGAACAAGAATTCAGTGCTAGCGGCAACATTCTAACCGACTTCTGAAGTTGTCTTAGCGCTGAATCTCTTGAAACAATTGTTTGCAACCGAGATTGGCTCTTGGCAAGACGTCGAGCTCAAGAGTCAGGATACGAATTCAATTCCAATCATTACATGAATGCAACCACAAATGGAAGTCTGAGTTTTGTGGAATAAGTTATAAACTTTTTTATGTTAATGTAGACATTTAAATATGTAATTAGTTTTTTTAAGTGAGCGATATATAAGCTTCTTCGAGGGTTTCTTTACGGTTCTTTACCTCGTCGCTTTTTTTGAAACGTCAAGATATTAAATGTAGTTGTTCTTCAGTTCGTGTATTACTCATTTTACAATATGTAAATAACAACCACATTTTTAGATTTTTTATTTCATTCTTTCCTTTAACAATTGCAAATTTATAATTTTACACTTTAAAAATTTAAAAAAAACAAAAAAAAATATTAGGGGTGGCCGAAACCGGCCGGTCCGGTACCGGAACCGGTACCGCCCGGTCCGGTCACGGTACCGGTACCAAGGGGTGGCCGTACCGGAACCGGCGGTTCCGGAACCGGAACCGTCCCGGAACCGTACTGTGTCCACCCCTAGTTGGGACATGTCTTTTCACTTCAATCAATTTTCTTTAGTTCTCACACACCCCAATGTAAAATCATCATTACTTTCTCCCCACAACCCATGTCCAAATTTAATGTTTATAAACCCTTGCCCAATACCTTCAATTCATTTTCCCACCATTAAAGCTTTTGAAATTTTCATCTTTCCAATATGGCTCAAAAACGTGATTTCCCTGGTCTCTCTATCATTCTTGGTTAGCTCGGAAAGGACCATAACAACATTGTTATCCACGTACGTGCTATTCGTGTCTATCACGTTCAACCTTTTGGAAAAATGTTGAATCCATGGAGGTGGTCTATCATGACGATGAGGTATGTAAACTTTGTTTAAATCCTAATGATTCAAGTTATTTTTAAAGTTATACACTCAAACAAGCAACTATTTTCAAACCATTTTTTTGAAATATTCTAATTGTCCACCAAATTTTAAACATGCTAACTGTCTTTCTTGACGTGAGTCTTGAGCCACGAACCATTTAATGTAAAGTATGGAGTTTTTAAGCATACTAAATTTTTGCGACTCTCTATGACTTAAATATCTTGATTTAAAAGTATTGAAAGATCCTTCTGTTCTGATTTTACTAAAAAAAAGTTTTTAAAAAAAGGTAACAATAGTTTTATTAAAACAAATGCATTGATAGTGTAAACAATTTTTAAATTTGTTGGACATATCAAGGAGCATTGATTTACGAAGTATTAAATGAAGAAGTTATTTCGGATGTGACTATAAAGTATAGGGAATAGATTATTTGCTTTGAGCCACACACCCATACCCACATTAATGGTGTGAACAACTTTCAATTTTGTTGGACATATCAAGGAGAATTGATAGACGAAGTATTAAATGAAGAAGCCATTTCGGATGTGACTTAAAGTATATGACGTCTTGCGCAATGACAATTAACAAAAGTCATGGCCAATCACTGAAGCACGTGGGATTATTGCTTAAGAATTTAGTTTTTAGTCATGGACAACTTTACGTTGTTGTCTCTTGAGTGACCAATCGACGTGGTTTGAAGATCTTGATTTGTAATGATGACCTACCACATTCAAATATTACAAGGAATGTAGTGTACAAAGAATTCTTTTAGAGCCTTTAATTTAGTCTATTTTTGTCTCCATTACTAATTCCTCAATATTAGTATGTAATGTTTTTAATCTTTATATTGAATACAATTTGTTTTTTGTCTTTATATGCACTATAAATTTAATATATTATTTTTTTCACTATCTCTAATTACTAACCGTGCAACGCACGGGTTAGAGATCTAGTTGATCAACTCACCCCAATTTGGCAATTTTAGACATTTATACCCTTCCACAAAGCTTATTCATGTGATGCCGTCGGTAGAAAGCAAAGGAGCCTGCAACTAACTCCAAGTTTTCTTTTTTGATCTATTGTCATCTTAAGGGATGAAAGAAATTGAAGTCCTTTGAAGAAAAACTTATATATCTTTGATCCATGCGATATGCCCATACCCAAAAAAAATCTAAACCACATCTTTATCCCAACCGCAATATTTATTTATTTCATTAATGAATTTTGTAGATCAATGTTAAAAATCAACATATTTATTTTTTAGATTTGATATGATCTCACATCGCATCTTTTGTTTGCTTAGAACCTTTAAGAAATACTCCGTATATAATTGAAGGAAGAAAATATTTTAGTACAAATATATACTTGTAAAAGATAACATATATACAATATATATTAAAAATATATACTCCCTCCGTCCCAAAAAGTCTTTCATATTTCATTTTTTGCGCATCCCATAAAACCTTTCTACCGACATCTAAAATGCCTAAAATTTCTAACATTTCTTCTTTATTGTGGGTAGAAGTTATTTTGAAAGTTTTTTTGGCATTCAAGGCGTGATAGAAGTGTTTTATGGAATGCACAAAAAATGAAACAAGAAAGACTTTTTGGGACGGAGGGAGTATATTTTACCTACGATAGGATGATCGGAAACGTCAACCCAAGCAGACGCCAACAACGATTCTTCCTCCGGTGTCCACTTTTGAATGGACCGTGCCGCCTCGTTCATCGGCTTGTCACCCTTCGGTTTGTGACTCTGCACTTTTTTGCTGCACTTGGTTCCTGTTGAGTCTCCAAAACCGACTCCGGGTCTTGGAGATTCACCGAGGTTTGCGTATCATACATCGACATATTACCGGCATATGATTAGAAAATCCACATCGGTTCCTTCCTTCTTCGTTTGGCTCGAGACCGGACGAAGGAACGTTAAAACCCAAGGAATTTATGTAAAAAATAAAAACAAATACTTGAATAATTTTCTTTTAAGAAAGAGGAGAGAGAGATTTGTAATTGTGGTGTGTATTAAATTTTTAAAAAATAGATTGAATATATAGAGAAGAAATTTTTTTAATGTCAACGGCATTATAGCCATTGTGGGGGGATTTCAACGACCAAAATTCAATTCTAATTTGTGTCAAACTTTTGACGCAGGGAAGGTGACGGTACCGTAACGAGAGAGGGAGGCAGTGTTTAACGCCTAACGCCGGAGGCATAAAAATCGAAAAAACGCCTCCGACTTTACATGAATTAGCAGTGCTCTTAGGGGATGAATCACAGAGAGGTATGAGAGGTTGGGGTCAGAGTTGTCGGCAATGGACGGGTGGCGAGGGGATGATGCAGTACAAGGTGTTGCTGGTGACGACGACTTGGTGGGATGGGTGAGGGGGGAAGAATGGCTCCTAGTGGTGGCTGACATCTCCAGTGGTTAAGATGAAGATTTAGTTACTAGTGAAAGGTAAAATATGACCTTTAGCATATACTCCCTCCATCCGAATATATTCTTCCCATTTGACTTTTCTTGGTCAAAATTTGTAAACTTTGACTATGATATGTGGAAAAAATACATTCTATTATGATATAACTTTAATATGAATATATTCATTTTGAAATATAGTTTTCAAATATCAAATTTTTATAAAATATATCCATACAAAAATAAATATACTAGTGGTCAAAGTACAATCTTCGAAACCGTAAAAAGTCAAATGGGAAAAATATTTTCGGACGGAGGGAGTAGTAAAAAACAAATCACTGATAAAGTGGAGTAAATTTGGTGTTTTAATTAAGTGTGATGAGAGCCTATATTATAGATCTAACACTAGGTATATCCAGCAAATATTTATTTTGAATCAATGTCGTATTTATTCTCAAGCAACGTAGTGACCATTATTGTAGTGTGCTCATTTTGAAATAACATAAAATTAATTTTAAAACAACATAGTATTCATTTTAAAATATTTTTCAATTACAAGTTTGTCGATGTACGATACATCTAACTGTACCATATAATTTATAGGGTGTGACTATCACCACCCTATATTTAATTAAAAATTTACAATAATGTACCAAGAGTAAGGTACATGAGACTGTATCATACTCCCTCCGTCCCTAAATAGATTAGAATTTTTTCTCTCTTCTCAATAATTTTTATTTGTTTACGCGATTTCATTAAGTATTTGAAAAAATAAAATATTCTTGCCACCTCTTGTTTTGTAGAACTTTTAACGTAGTTTTTTAATATGTAATTTTTATATCTTACTGATATACCAATTTGTAAATAAAATAATTTCAAAAAGTAGAAAATCTTTCTTCGTAACCCGTAATCTGTAATCTATTTAGGGACGGAGGAAGTATAATTTACCCCCTAAGAAATGGAGCACAATCCACATATACATACGTAAGTGGGGGACGCTGCTTGACTCGAAAAAGCAAAACAATGCAACGTTGGTAATAATACACAGACTGCAACTATATACTCCGTAATACAATACACAACCCAAGTGCAAGTATAAGATGAATAAGAAATAATGTTGTACAAAGAAGAATTTACACACTTGGAGTGAGAATTGATTACAGAGCTCTATGTTGCAAGATAGTTTAAGGGCACAATAACTCTTCATTACATAAATTTAGCCGTTTGTATGGCCTGCAAACTACATGTATATGTTACAGTGCAACAAAGAAAATGCCTCGGAAGAATTAAAAATATACCGACAACTTCTTATCTATCATGTTCTGCGCAATATTGCACTTCTCTAACAACTCACTTAACTTGTTGCTTTCCTTTACTGCCTTAGTGGCTAGCAGAGGCTCAAATTTCTTCTTCATGACATCGGTTACATAATTATTGTTGTAAGATATAGCAATTTTACCATCATCTTCAACATTCATTTCATCACCTGACATCTGAACTTCATTAGAAGCATTCCCAACATTATGATCATCTAGAGTCATATGCCTATGTGTTTCAAAGCAATCCTCTTGCTCGTTTGGAGCATTAGGTGTAAGGCAGGCACAACAAACTTCAACCATCTCGTCCAAGGAGGGTTGTCCCAGTGCAGAAGAGAACAGTGATCTATCTTCTACGTTGAAGTTATATGAAGCTTCAGGGGAAATGGGAAATTCAAGTTGCTTCAAGACATATGCTGATGATAATCGATCATCAGCTAAATTCGTTAACTGCCAATTGAATGCCCGCCTAAAAATCGCAACCCAATTTGGCATGAGGTAGTATGAATAGTTATGGAGTTCCAGCCGGGTGTACTTTTGTAGCATAATGTTTGCCTCTTTTGCACCTATCAGCCGCCCCATCAGCTTACTGTCCTCTGTTAAATACTTCAACAGGCAACTCTCAAGTTGTACTGTTTGGGTCTCAATGTCACTAATCTCATAAGTGCCTTTGTGTAGCCAACTTACATCCTCCTCAAAAGCAGGAAGCTTACAGGTAGCTATTGCATGCACAAGTGGTTGAATTCTAGCTGCAGAATTCCACCCTATGCTCGGTAGATAGCGCAACGCGTGATTGTTCCCATTGCCACACTGCCCTAGCAATGCAATTTCAGGGCAGGGCCAACAAGCAGGAGCTGCTTGAGCAGCAGCAGCTACTTCTCTAGCTGATTGATCCAAGGATTCATTAATGGCTGAAATAATGGCATTTGGATTTGTATAGTGAGTATTGATGTTATCGAGAGCCTCCAATGAGGGATTTAAGTGGTAAAGAACTAGTTCACGGGTTTTAATGCAATCAAGAACAGGCTGTGGGGGTGATACATCTGCAAGCCACTCTAGTCCTCGTCTCAAATGATTGTCACTAAAAAAACCAGTTATCTTTTCCAGAGGATCGTCCTTAAGAAAAAGAATGTTGAATGCCATAACCAGTGATTTATCAATGTCATGGAGCCCCAATTCTTCAGTTATTGTTGAAGGATCTACACGACTCTTGCATGAACTGCTTAATACTAAAAGAGGCAGGGAAGATCCAGAAGGCAGAGCCATTAAGACTTCATTGAGTCTTTTCTTTTGGACCTCCCATGGGAAGCACTCCAATGCCAGGAAGACAATTGCATTTGCGCCTTCCGCAGTCTCATTTAGATTCTGAAACTCAACTTCCTTGATGACTGAGAAACAACTTGTCAGATCTCTTCCCGACTCATCAGGAACACACTTCTTCCATATGGACAGTCCAGGTGATGAAACAACTAGCTCGTCATCAATGCAATTATTATCTGGAATAAGCTTGGAAAGAAGCCAGGACCAAGCAGCTAACACACCAACGTCATTTTGTTGGATTGGCTCTGTTATATTATGCATCTTGCCTTGAGAACATAAAATGACTTTCCAACAGAGGCACTTAGCAGTAGTATTTTTTCCAGCAAGTTTAGACACAACAACATCGGATACATTCATCCGTAACCATGAATTTTGTTGAAGTTCATACCGCCTCATCATGGCACCACCAATATTGACATCATCAAACACATTTGGTTGCTGGGGGACAAGACATTTGGATAAGAACCCAATAAATGCAATAGAAACAAAGTGTGGCAGGTCAGGATACATGTTGTAAGTAAACACAATAGTTGGCAACTTTACTTCTAATATTTAAAAGTGCACAGGGGTTATGAAAAAACTTCAATGCCTTCAGCCACTGACATGCTTTATGAATTTGTACCCCTTTGCTTTGATAGATGTCTAGGAGGAGAGTGCACAGTTCATTAGGCGGTCGGCACCGTGTCAAATTCCCATTGTAGACTTTTCCCTATATTTAGCTTTTGTGGGTAAAAGAGCCAACTAGTTGTTTTATACTCTCTCTTTTTGACTAAAATCATTTTCCATTCAATTTATTTAACAATTAGTGTCGAACTAAACAATAAAACTTCTAAATTTAAAAATGAGGAATTGGAGAGTTACACCATGCCAAATGGTGTAACTTCGTGACACAATTTCTATTGGGGCACCTATGGTGCCCCGTTCGTAAAATTGACGGTTCCTACCCCTCATAAACCCCTACCCCGATCTCGCCCCCTCACGGACCCCCTACCCCCATCAATTGCACCCCATAAGATTTATTGACTTCATCAGTCAAAATTTTGAGTAAAATTTTAACCAAACTTAAATAGTGCAATTGTGGGAGGTAGGGAGTCCTAAATTGATTGATTAAGTATGATGCACTGTGATTCAGATGATCAAGGGATGAACTATTTCAGTGATGAAATGAACCAAATACTTTTATAATCCCAAAGGATGAACTAAATCACAGGGCATAGATGCTACTCAATTAAAGACTCTGATGATTTTAAGAACCATCATTGATAAGGACAAGAAAATCATAGAACTTACAGTTTTGTACTGACAAATTGGTGGCCCCAATGTCAGTGAGCTTAAGGCAACTGTTGCTGCTAGCTGTTTCTGCTCACGCAATTCTCTTCTCTTTGAAGAATATCGTTTCCATATTCTGTAATAAAGCAAAATGTTAGTCCTGACCTAAGGAAAAATAACAACAGGCTAAGGATAAATTTGTTTAGAAAGCTGCACCTTATAAGAAGTTTAAGTTTCGCATTTGCAACTTCTTCATCATAATAACCTGCAACAGCTACATCAGATTCAGCCTGTTGACAAGAAATCACCGGTGATTCATCTTCCATATCTTCAACAGGCAAATGATGGGCTACCGAAGATTTCTTGACAAAGTCATTTCCAACAACTGGCAGTGTCTCTTGCTCCACTCTTGATGCTGTAAGAAGGAAAGGGGAATCCAAAACTTCAATTTTCTGACCTTTATCCAGAGAGTGTTTGAAGGTGGTGGAATGCTTTGGGCTAAATCTGTCATGTTGGAATTCTGGGGAACAATGGGCAGCAGATACTTGAGGACTTGCAGGAGTCACCAAATTCTCATCTTGACCCTTTGCGTGCATAGGAATGCAAAGCAGTGGCATCACCTTCAACTTTTCTTCCGGATATGAGATTGTTTCATAATCAGGTATGTCCTCATCAATGCCCTGGATAAAACTCTCAGACACCAGAAGCTGACGAGGAGTGGGATTCTGCTCAAATCTATTATCTAACTGAGGATCCTCTAACTCTTTTTTGGAATAAACTATTTCTGCCAAATGCGCACAAAAGACATCTTCAACTATTGTCGTAGACTTTTTACTATAAACAAGTCTTGAACACCTGACAGGATAGTCATTATCAACATTCACAAAGGAGCCTTCCTTCACCATATACGGTTCTTCAAATTCCTTTACTGCAAGCCCATGATACACGAGAAGGCTTTCTATATCTTCTTCCTGATTAGAACAAATAAAAATAGAAAATTATAATTACAGCAGTAGCTCAGCTGCAAAAGATACTCAGATATCCAAACAATGTACCTCCATCCCAAGCCATTTGGCAACTTGGCTAACAGGGATTCCTTGGTTATTCTGTAAACCACAGTGCAACGAAGCAAGAGCATGGGTTCGTAACTAGTGTGCAGCATAGAAACAATGCAAAATCAATTCAGTGCAAAACATAAACCTCATAAAGAGAAATTAAGCATATATAACACTCCCTAGCCCTAGGTTAAGGATGTAAACAATTCATCATTATGGTATATTATTACACCTCTCTCTGCTAGGTGCCACTGTCACTTCTATTAAAGTCATATTCATGTCAACAGATCACATGGTGTAGATATATTTATGTACCTTTGCGAAGTGAGCATGCATCAAGCATGCTTGAAGGTAACTAGCTTTTCTTGCAAGACGAAAGAAAGTAATGAAATTACCAGTTCTGCATGCTCTGTAACAACAAAAAAACAAAAGACAATATGGATTCAATTTCTCTAAATAATTTATGTTAGCAGAACCTAATAATGGAATTACCTGGCTACATCACGGGAAAACACAATTTCGGGAGTTTGCCGCATATCTGGGGTCATCTTGGCCAAATCAAGCGACAGTTCTGCAGGCTCAACCTGGGGAAATGATTGTATTTACAGATGACATTCATTAATGGGAATAAAGACATGATACATTTTTCTAATTCTTACTTTGTATCCGGGGTGTTTGTCAAGCTTCAGAAGTGCATAGTAGCCTCTGAATTCTCTCTCTGTTGGCACATCATGTCCTTTTTTCCGGTGGTCATCATATAAATGAAAGAGTTCAACTGATGTTTTGTTCATTTGTTCAATGTTGAGATGTGCATCAAATCCTTCTGAAAAGCCTTCTCCTTTGGTATACTCGCACAATTCATGCATAGCTATTATGTGGAGTCGAATCTGAAACCAAGAGAATTATTATTAAGACCACACAAGACATGTTACAGCAAACGAGATTCATAAATTCAAATCAAATGTGCCTAGCAGGTGTGACACAAACAATATATTCTCTTCTCAAGGTACGAATGTTCCCAAAGGTGCATCAAATAGCTACTTCTCATTTTCAAAACAAGTAGAGATCACTTCATAAAATTTTGAGTTAAATGTCCAAGCCAGAGGAATTAAGCATACTGCACAAACCATTTGCTCCAGCATACTTATAGCTTCAAGATCAAAAATATGTTGCATCCGCAGATCCATACGGACAGCTCGCATCCTGTCCCACAAAAAGTTGTACAAACCAAGAAACTTATCATCATAGGGCTTATCCAGCAAATTTAGAAGATAATCCATTGTCTGCAGCAGAATTGGCATTGGACGGATGAGCTCAGCTTCTCTCCCAGCTGTCCTAGTGTACTGAAAATCAAGCAAGAGTGTAAGTTGTTCTTTGCTTTGACTGACTTGATGAAAACCAAGATCCATCAGTGTATTCTTCAGTAGAGATCCCATACCTTCTTGACAGCAAGAAATTTACTTGACCGATTTCGTTCTCCATCTAAGCGCTCATACTGGTCAAGATCTCCTTTTCTTTCACGTTCTGTTCTCTCTGATTCTGAAGACAAAAGGGCAAACAGGTAAGTATTTATTTTAGAATCAGCTCTTGGACGATAACTAGAAGAGAGTATGAAACCAACTATGAATGACAAAATCCCACATGGCAGAAGAACAACGGCCAATAAATTATGTTTAAGACAAGCCAGAATGAAAGAATGAACTAAATACTGGAAATTTAAAACATCTCATTTTTTGGGTCAACAAATCTATAATAATTCATGAAATGTGTGATGGGAGTAAAGACAGTAAACTAGATGTGTGTGTAGTAAAAGGTAAGCATGGAGTACATCTGCAAAACAATGTTTGGGGAACAATAGGTAGCCTCATAGACTAAACAATTAAAAATCTCATTATATGTTCCAAGTCAAAAAAATTAAGCTGAACGACACGATGATACTGAAAAAACATTACCTGGACACATATCAAGACAAGATCCTACTATGATGCCAGAAGACTCAGGAACCTCATAATCAGATATCGCATTCCTGTTAGAAAAATCCCCTGGAGTATCAACACTGGATTCCTCCATAAGTTGTTGTTGCTCAGCCACAGATTGATATTGTTTCTTCATAACAACTCTCTGATCTCGAGCGATGGGATCGCTTTGAGCAGGTTGTTCTAAGTCATCCTTGAAGCGGGCCAAACGCTTAGCTTTGGCATCTAGTTCTCTAAAATGAATGCGGGGGAAAGGTTAGAAATACAGAGTCCGTGACATACATTTTGAAGGAAAATAGTTTCTTATGTTTGACATCATACCGTTCATTGTCATCTTGAACAGCAGAGCAGTCGTCATGAAGTACATGATCAGATGTGTGTGCAAATGGTAATTTGGTCCTTTTAGAAACAGGAAAGCTCATAGGCTTCATCGAGCCAATATCAGCATTATTATGGACAGATGTAAGAGACTGTTGTTGAGTATGAGAACCAAGAGCATTAGAGGGAAAATTTTGCCTCAATTTGGGGGGAGAGCTGGAAGGCGGCCTAACATAGAAGTTGAAGAAAGATGCAAGAGAATCCATCAGAATGACAGTTTCCAGATTGTCCAAAAAATTAATAAAATGTCACTACAGCTGTAATCTACCTTTTGGAACTGTGAACCCCATAGACCGAATAACCTCCATTAGCGAGCAAATTGGGTGGCGACCTGCTTCTCTTGGAGACTTGATTTGTAGGCTTAGTAGGCATCTTTTCCCAAGACTTATATGTATCTAAATAAGTAGATACAGCAGGAATTTTACTTTGAGCGAGTGGCATTGCAAAATTTGGTTCTCGTAATTGATTAGCTTCCAGAGAGGGAGAGGAAGACAGAGAGCGTCTGCGTGACAAATACAGATCAGATTTAAGAAATAGAGCATGTAATAAGAAGAATTACTACATGAGAAATCCTACATCAAAATTTGGGATCTTTGCTGCTGTTAAGCTGGTAAATCTTCCAGATATGGCCATCGAGCTACACCAACAAGAGGGATTCATTTATCAGTCGGAAGGCTATTCTGAAAAACTAAAAGGCTCTCTTTTCTTTGCTTGATAGATTCTAATATGAATTTTTAAGGTCTGATCTGACTTGGTTTGGTCTATTTTGATTGTAGTGTAATTTAAAGCTGTTGCTAATCTTATTTGATTCCAATAAGAATAAATAATAAGAAAAAGATAAGCTGAAGAGAACGATGCCCAAAGGTGGTGAATGTGACTGCTCCCAAGTAACCCTGACTGTTTTGAAAAGTTGGAGGTGATTACATCATGTCAAAACCTTAACCCTTCATGGTTGTTTCTTTTATTCATTATCCACCCTAACCCTCATTATTTTTCTTGAGGTTATATTCTACTAAAAGACTGTACTTGTTACTGCATGGTATGAAATTCTCAAACTATTTGTATTATTTTAAATTTATTTTCACATCTTATCCCAAAAAAAATTATGTTTAATGACATTTAATTTGTATTTAAAAGTACAATTTATTTTATAAGTGGGAAGACTATTCTGGAAAATTAAAGGTGGTGACTGTGACTGCTATCAAGTAACCCTGATTGTTTTGAAAAGTTGGAGGTTATTGCATTATGTCCAAACCCTAGCACTTCATGGTTTTTTCTGAAGTTGATACTCCCTCCGTCCCACTGTATTCGTTTAGTTTGACTTTTTCAAGTCAAACAGGACAAACTTTAATCATCAACTACACTCAATTTGTATGTATACTAATATATGCATTACCATTACTATTTAATTGAGGTCCAAAGTTCGTCTAGTTTGACTCCAAAAAGTCAAACTAGACGAATACACTGGGATGGAGGTAGTATTTTACTAAAATACTTGTTACTGCCTAATGATATAGAACTCTCAATCTGTTCGCAATTTTTAAAATTTTATTATCATATGTTATCCCAAAAAAATATGTTTAATCACTTTAATGAGATTTGATTTGTATTTAAAAGTATAAAAACCTACTAAGAAGATTTTAATGGATAAGTGAGACGGGTAAAGGATGGATAAAACTTGGCAGAGTGAGTTTTGATGGATTAATACGGTAGCGGGTGGGTAAGTTTTTGACCTGTCAAAGCGGTGGACAGTGGTAAAAATATGGCTCGTGGCAGGTGGCAACGTGGGTGGCAGGTTGAAAAATCCGAGGCAGGTATGATAGTGGGTAGACCTATATCCACCATCCTGCTCGAATGACATCCCTGCCCCTAACCCCCACCCTCAACCCTACTCCCACCCCCACCCTCCAAATGACGCTGCCACCTCCTGTCCCTGTTCATTATCAACAAGAGAAGGCCCCTCTCATTCACTGGGCCATCCTAGCATTTGCAAACTACACTCTCATTCAATGCCAATATAGATACTTCGAATGAATTCTGAGTGTTCAATGTCAACACACACACTTATATGTATGTATGTATAGTGAGGGTAAATAGACGGCATTCCCTTGAAAACAAGTGTAAAGTTTGATTCAACTACAAACATTATTCATGGGAATTCATTCACAAGAAATAATATAGGACAACTCTTCATTGACACCAGGAATGAGATATTGTTACATACAGATAATAACAGAAATTTCACAAAGAAATATATAGTTTACCCTGCAGTGGTGCTTCTAGAATTCCATAAATTCTCTTCATCTATTTGCAATGAAGGAGGTAATCTTGTTCTTTTCAGATCCTGAACTTGGTAAATTCGATGTGAGGCACCAACTCTAGTGCCATTCAAAGGAAAAGGTGCCAATAATGGAGAAGATCCGGCATTATTTGGGGCATCAAGGTCTTTGTAAAGAGACTTGCCCATAAGTCCAGTGAGGTTGGGATTCACTTCCTCTGAGCAAGAAAGAAAGAAGGGTTATCCGTTATCATAAATGGTGCGCAATATGTAAGTTGTTACTAAGAGATGCTACTCCATATCCTTGAGTGCAGATACCATTTACATTTAATAACTTGTATTCAGGGTGAATATATAAGTAATAACATCATAAATCATTGGCATATCACTGCCACACAGTGATTAACCCATTTACCCAAAGACTCATCTGATTATTTTCAATGCCATGATTGTAACATGACAAGTAGACTTCTTTAAGAATGTAAAGATGTATAGTTTCATAGATTATTATCTCTGGAAAGGCGGTAGGGAATCATGATAGCTTCTGCCAAAAGCTAATGACAGGAATACAATTGTTGAAATTTTTTTCTGATTAAATGCATCTAAAAGAACCTATTTGTATTAAGACTTAGGAGCATGACATAATTTTGACAAAGAAAAAACAATATTGCAAATAACATTAAATTACACTTGAAGTCAGGAAGTGTGGGCATTCAACAATTTTCAAATGAGATCTATTATTCACAAAAATATATAATCATTGAAGATATACAACGCATGGACATATTTTAGATCCTCAATTTGAAACTTGAAAGGAAACATATGACATTGTAAACTAATTACTCTGTCTCTCCCGAAATTATCTTCCTATTTTTCTTATTAAGTCCGTCCCAAAATTATCGCTCATTTTCTTCTAAGGAAGCATTATGAGGTTAATATTGTTTCTCTCTTCAAAACAACTCTCAATCACACAATTTTAATTTTTGATCTCCGTGCATAGTCAAAGTAGGCTTTTATTTATAGACAGAGGGAGTATTTAAGTAACAACACGTACAAACAAACATACAAGACAGCTCATAAGATTTACATAATTAATTTTCACTCATGTCTTAAGCCCATTAGCTCTAATAAATGATAGAGCATCCATAAAATGAGCTGCCAATTGAATTCTGAATTTCTACCATATGATCAGTACACGATATAATTTGTTAGAAAATATGGTCAAATGGTCCATTTTAAGTATTTCCCTACACACACATACACACACACAAACGCCACCTCTAAGCGCCCAACTCCTAAAAACCCTTGCAAATGAAACTTGATACAGCTTTATGCCCATAAAGTACTAAAAACACATTAAAAAGGTTAAAAAATACAAGCTTACTTGGAAAAGTCAGGTGGTGGGAGGGGTTGCGAGGAAAGCTTCCGGGCAGGTTTTGAGCCCTAAGATGTCCGGTGGGACCTGAGTTCTTACCAAATCCGGCATATTCCATTCTTGCTTTCTTATCCAATCAAAATCAACAAGTTCATAAGAAAAAGTAAGGCGCTTCTACATGCCCGGGTGCTTGAAAAATCAAGAGCCCCAACATTCAATTTGTTGGGAGAATTTCTAGTCGTACTACCAAGGGATGACCAGTTTCCTCTCTTTTGAGCGTGTGATTCCCTTTATTTAGCGGTGATGCAGGCCAGCAAAAGGGCTAGATTCAGAGCGGATGCAAAAGAACTCGCGTCAGTTGAAGTAGAAGAGCATGAATATTGGATTTGATGGTTCTTCCATCACATCAGAAAGTCTCAAAGGCTGAAAAAATGATTCCTTCGGCGCACACGAAATTGGATAGCCTTGAAGAGTGAAACTTGTGGGGATTCAAACGAAGCTCCCCAGAATCGAGGTCCAACAAAAAATCATTATGAATGTCTAGGCGTGGCGCACTAGAGTCGTGATTTAGATCTGATATATGCCTCTATGTGCAATTACTTGCCAATTGCTTGTGGTGGAAGGCCATCGCCGGAGGTGTTATTGCTAATGGTTTGCACTCCCATGGCGAGGTTGAAGAGGGAGAGAGTTAAACACCGGCAGAGAGGGTTAAAAGGAGCAGATGTAGATAGGTTGTTGCTATTGAAACAAGGGGTGGGCGCAGTCGGTCTGATACTACCGGAACCTATCAAGGACAGCTATTATTTAAACGGTTCGGTATCAGTACGTGATGAACTCCAAAACCATTCGGTACCATTCCGTTTTGAAACGAAACGGTACAATACTGATGGTGTAAATTACCTAACCGGGTAAACTATACTAGACCGGGTCTAGGATTGTTTACTTGATTCAGAAAGTGAAAAGGTAAAAACACGCAAATGACCGGGACGACTGTAGGTGGAAACACATGTAGCCCAATTGATATTATAAACATAGGAGAATACACGGGAGCTTTTACAAGGGAGTTTAGAGAGAAGGAATTCTGATCCCCACTTCTGAGGGTTACACAAATATTTATACTAAGTTGCAGGGGACAAACCGCCGCCTGCCCACGTTGAGGCACGTTCTTGGGTGGTGGGAGGTAATGGCCTTCGTCCTTTAGCTGCTTTGTCATCTTGCGAGGAAGATTGTTCCCTTGTCATGTAGCACTCTGGATGGATTGTCCAAGCATCTCCAGCGATCTTTCATTGATCTTGGTCGCTACGGTCCAAGCCCCTTTGGACTCTTCTCTGCCGAGGCTTCATAACCTTAGAAATCATACCGGGTGACTTCTGAAGGATGAGCTTCCTGAAACGGGTGATAAACAGGGTGATAGAGAAGTTTGACCGGTATAAGTATACTGGTCAACCTTTGAGTCCACCAAACACTATTTCATTGACGACTTAGGTTTCCCATCTTGAAAAATCAACCTTGACCGATTGGAAATATGAGTGTCTACGTTGACCGGTTCAAGGTGGAATACACCCATCAATAAGCCCTCCATTTCTTGCCATGTAGATATCATGGGCGGGAAGTAAAAATCTTAGAAATGGGCCCAAAATTTGAATTTCAGGCCTTTCCCGCTAAATATTTCACATTTCAAATTTGAAAAGTATCCGTTTTAACATGTGTCGCTCACTGGATAACGCCATCACTACGCCTTTTCGTCTTCCTAGGCGAAATGATGGCGCCGCCTGACGCGGCGCGTTCTGCCGAAGCCACGTCGCCCTTCTCAGGTCCTTCCTCGCCTATATAAAGGCCTTCATCCCATTTATTCCTTCGCTTTCTCTCGTGCGTCCTTCTAAGTTTCACCGATCAAGTCCTCTGCGCTAGCTTCCCAGACCTCCGAGTCAAGTAAGCTTCCTTCTTCCATTCTTTATTTCCTTTCCGATCATGTCTTCTTTTAATAGCCAAAATATCTCGTCCTCGGATGCCTACGAATCTGAGGATTCTACGACCTCATCTTCATCGACCGGGTATTATTCGTCTAATTTTGAACACCGGTCGGCTCTGAATCCTTCTGTTCCGAACCGAAGCCTGTCAATCAAATGCCCGGTCAAGTCTTCAGGGAGAGGGATGAACCGGTTGATGATGAACTAGCTCCCTATGATCCAGATAATGAGACCTGGGCACAGTGGGAGGAGAGGTTGGAAGTAGCCGGTTACTCTCCTCTTCCCACTTTTTAAGTTTTTGACATCTACCCCCATGTCTCTAAAATAGCTTTGAACAAAGCCCGTAGGAATCTCCCAGAGGGGTATGTTCTCGAGTATGATGAGAATTGGCCCAATATTATTGAGCCCCACCGGGAGGATAGGATAGGTTTTCATATTACTTCCTTAGAGGGTGGCATCTTTTTTCCTCTTCGCCCCCTCTTAGTTGAGGTGTGTCGCTATTTCCGGATCCTCCCCAGGCAGATCACACCCAATGCCCACAGGCTTCTCAACTCCTTAGTAAATATCTGTCACCACCTTCATATTGATCCCTCTCTGCGTCTTTTCCTTTACGTCTTTGAGGTCTGTCCCAAGAAACCAGGTTGCGAAGGTTTCGTCTATTTCAAGGGACGGACCAATCGCAAATTCTTTTCTGACCTTCCACAAAGCAGCAACTGNCCCCCGTTACTCCTCTGGCCGGTTTGAGGTGGAGCGATAACCTCCTCAAACAAGAATACACAGAACCGGCGACCACTCCCAACTTGGAGGAGAGTCTGGAGAAGCTTCTAAGGGGGGAACCCCTTCACCGGCTAGAAATATCATTACGGGAGCTGGGTTTGGAGGGTCCTACCAAGTGGCGAGGGTACCTCCCAGGCCCATGAAGCAGCGGGGCACGGGGTACCCTCCCCGGGCAACACTGCAAAGGCCGAGGGCCAAAGTCACCCAGGTATCCGTCATTTCCTTTCTTCTTTCTTCACGTGTACCGGTGTCATTTCCAATACTTATCTTTTGCTTGTTTTGCAGACACGAACTTCAGGTCTTTCGACATCCCCAAGAAGACCGTTGCATCTTCTTCTGATGTCCCACGTTCTTCCCCCCCAAAGGATAAGCCGATCTAACAAGAAACTGTTGAGATCCATAACGAGGAGGAAACTCCTCGGACCAGGGGGCCACCGAGGCCGGGAAGACCACGGAGAATCCTCCCCCTACAAGGGGAAGCGGAAGACGAGGACGAAGAAGGTTGCCACCACCCATCCGTTGGCAAAGTGGAAAAGGGGAGAAAATGCCCCAGTTGCAAGGTCGCTGGAAGAGCTCTGGGTCAAGATGGGGCTCAAGCTGAAAGAGGTAATACTTGCCCATCTCTTCCTTATCGTCTATGCACCTGAATTAACCCTATTCTTTCTTTCTTCTCAGATTGGTGAAGTGGGACCGGAAGCCTTGGAGCAGCTCGCCGAGGACTTCCCCACCCGGTCACTTTAGCTAGAGGAAAAGCAGGGCCGAGGCCCACAACCGGGAGCTTCAGGAATTAACGACCCGGCAGCTTGATGAAATGGCTAATCTCTCTAGGGTGGCCGGGAAGGCGAACGCAGAGATCCTCCAGCTGGAGGAGGAGAACTCGCAGCTGATGGGGGAGGTCTCCCAACTGAAAGTGGAGGCCCAACTGAAGGAGAGAGAGCTGCCCGACAGAGCTAGCCAATCGATGGAAGAGAACATCGTGGAAGCTGCCCGGGTTCTTACTTCATCCGAGGAAAGGACCATGGAAGGCTTCAAACTGCTGTACCGGGAGCCCCATGGGAAAGAAATGATTACCCAGATAGGCTCTTTTGGTTTCCACCTACAGTCCTCTCGGTCATTTGCGTATTTTTACCTTTTCACTTTCCGAATCAAGTAAATAATCCTAGACCCGGTCTAGTATAGTTTACCCAGTTAGGTAATTTACACCAATCAGTATTGTACCGTTTCGTTTCAAAACGGAATGGTACCGAATGGTTTTGGAGTTTATCACGTACCGATACCGAACCGTTTAAATAATAGCTGTCCTTGATAGGTTCCGGTAATATCAGACCGACCGCTCCCACCCCTAGTTTCAATAGCAACAACCTATCTACATCTGCTCCTTTTAACCCTCTCTGCCGGCGTTTAACTCTCTCCGTCTTCAACCTTGCCACGGGAGTGCAAACCATCAGCGACAACACCTCCGGCGACGGCCTTCCACCACAAGCAATTGGCAAGTAATTGCACATAGAGGCATATATCAGTTCTAAATCACGACTCCAGTGCGCCACGCCTAGACATTCAAAATGATTTTTTGTTGGGCCTCGATTCTGGGGAGCTTCGTTTGAAACTTTGAATCCCCACAAGTTTCACTCTTCAAGGCTATCCGATTTCGTGTGCGCTGAAGGAATTGTTTTTTCAGCCTTTGAGACTTTATGATGTGATGGAAGAACCATCAAATCCAATATTCATGCTCTTCTACTTCAACTGACGCGAGTTCTTTTGCATCTACTCTGAATCTAGCCCTTTTGCTGGCCTGCATCACCGCTAAATTAAGAAAGGGAATCAAACGCTCAAAAGAGAGGAAACTGGTCATCCCTTGGTAGTACAACTAGTAATTCTCCCAACAAATTGAATGTTGGGGCTCTTGGTTTTTCAAGCACCCGGGCATGTAGAAGCGCCTTACTTTTTCTTATGAACTTGTTGATTTTTGATTCGATAAGAAAGCAAGAAAGGAATATGCCGAATTTGGTAAGAACTCAGGTCCCACCGGACATCCTAGGGCTCAAAACCTGCCCAGAAGCTTTCCTCGCAACCCCTCCCCACCACCTGACTTTTCCAAGTAAGCTTGTGTTTTTTAACTTTTTTAATGTGTTTTTAGTACTTTATGGGCATAAAGCTGTATCAAGTTTCATTTGCAAGGGTTTTTAGGAGTTGGGCGCTTAGAGGTGGCGTTTGTGTGTGTGTGTAGGGAAATACTTAAAATGGACCATTTGATTATATTTTTTAACAAATTATATCGTGTACTGATCATAGGGTAGAAATTCAGAATTCAATTGGCAGCTCATTTTATGGATGCTTTATCATTTATTAGAGCTAATGGGCTTAGGGTCCTGTATGGATAGAGTCTTGCATGTTAACCTCTTGAAGTAGTTGCTAAGCTCAGTAATTGCTTCCCATACAACTCTTATAAGTAACTCCTTGAATCCAATGGGTAGTAGTCTTTGCATGAACACATGACAATCATGACTTTTCATGCCAAACATCCTCAACTTAGTTGGGTCCACGCATCTCCCTAAATTCGAGACATACCCATCTGGAAATTTCAATTCCTTCACCCAATCAAGAAATGCTTCTCGTTGGGCTTTATCCAAAGTGTAGCAAGCTTTTGGATACTTTCGTGTTTGAGGGTAACGCTCCAACTCCTTTCTGGAACAAAACAAAGAAGTATCTTCCCTTGCCTTTGCATTGTCTTTCGTCTTGCCCTGTACATCCATAACAGTGTTAAAAACATTCTCAAAAACATTTTTCTCAATATGCATAACATCAAGATTATGATGTATCATATTCGTCTCCCAATATGGTAAATCCCAAAAGATGCTCATTTTCCTCCACCCGCATGAGGTATTCTTCACAATGTCAGAGTTAATGGCATCGCCATCTGAGTCTACTATCTTCCTCAGGCCTAAAGATTCAATCTCATGCCTAATATCTTTCCCACTCTTCTGAATCGGTGGTGACTTCGTCTCAATTTGATTTCTAATGAACTTTTTCTTATTCCTTCGAAAGGAATGGTCTGTTGGAAGAAAACGTCGATGTGTGTCGAACCATGATTGTTTTCCCCCATTAGGCAACCTGAATGACACGACTTGATCCATACAGATAGGACATGCTGTGTTTCCTGCTGTGCTCTATCCCGACATCATGGCGTACGCCGGGAGATCGCCAATTGTCCACATGAGTGCAGCATGCATTTTGAAGTTTTGTTTTAACGAAACATCATAGGTGTCCACGCCCTCGCTCCAAAGACTCTTCAGCTCTGCGATTAGTGGCTGTAAGTACACGTCAATCTTCTGTTTTGGGTTAGACCTCCCAGGCACAATTAGTGACAAGAATATGTGTTCTTCTTTCATGCACATATCAGGCGGAAGATTGTACGGGGTAATCATTACAGGCCAACATGAATATTGTGATTGAGACTGTCCAAACAGTTGAAACCCATCTGTGCACAGTCCAAGGCGCACGTTGCGTACCTCCGACGCAAAGGTAGAATGTTCAGCATCAAACTTTTTCCATGCTTCAGAATCGCAAGGGTGACACATTTCATCATCACTTGTGTGTCGATGATCAACATGCCACCTCATTGCACTTGTTGTATGTTTAGACATATATAGGCGTTTCAACCTAGGTGTTAGCGGAAAGTAAAACATCTGTCTATTCAGAATCTTAGACTTCTCGTCTTTATAACGCGACTTGTGGCAAACCTTGCACTGCGTGAGACTTTCGTCATCTCCCCAATATAACATGCACCCAAGAATGCAACAATGAATCTTCTGGACGGGGAGACCAAGATCTTCAATTAGCTTTTTTGTTTGATAAAATCCATCCACCATTGTGTTGTCTTCATTGTGTTGTCTTCAGGTAGAGCGTCTTGGAGGAATTGGCAGAAGGTGTCATAACATTGCTCAGATAAGTTATGGTCAGACTTGATATTTAACAAACGTGCAACTGCAGACAGCTTGGACATCTTATTACATCCTTTCCACAGATCGGTATAGCGGCTTTCAACATTTCAAAAAAATTCTTATCGCTCGGATTTGGCTCTTCCTCAACAATAGAGTTAACCCGAGACGGACCGACAGCATCAAATACCATGTCTGCATATTGTTCTCTACCTGTCTCATCAAACACGTTAGTGGCATTGGCATGACGAGGAACTTTACGTTGTTGGCGGGGAACCCAATCACCGTGATTCTCACCATGACATACCCAATCATGGTAATTTGGTGTGAATCCAAATCGGAGTATGTGCTCTAGCATCCTTGATGATGATCTAAATGTAACATTCTTACACTTTGTGCATGGGCAACGCATTTTCTTATTCGGCATCTTATACACATTCAGACTTGACACACAATACTTTACTAACCCTTCAACATTATCTTTCCACAACTCACTAACAACACCTTCTCTCTCGTACTTCTTATACATCAAGTCACGATCTTCGAATGGAAGACTCATATTAACAATGCCTATCAATTGAAAGTCATCAAACAACTAAGTAAACAACCACATGAGATAGCCCATCAACTAAGTAAACAACCAAAAATCCTTGGTAATAATTGAAAGACAATAACCAACCATCTTTAATCATGAACATCAACCACAACATTTTACAAAAAAAAACAATATCAAAAATAAAGTCCAACAAATAACAATCTCTAACCAATACCATAGTAATTTCACATAATTTGAACTCTAATTCCCCTAAAAAGCTCTTAATTTCATAAAAAAAATCATTTTTACCTAATTTCATGCCAATTTCAACCATTATTAAAGTAAATTCATATAATTTTAATTCAATTTAACCTAAAATCTTATCAATTTAACAAAAATATCAATTTCATCAACAAAAAAAAGTGAAAAAAAAACCTTAAGGTGCAGGCAGAGGAGGAGGACAGCGGCTGGAGGAGGAGGAGGAGGACGGCGTCTGGCGGAGGAGGAGGAAGAGGCCGGCGAGTAGAAGCTGACGGAGGACGGCGGCTGGCGGAGGCCGGTGGTGGCGGAAGAGGGCTGGACGACGAGGGCGGTGGCGGACGAGGGCGGAGATGCGGAGGCGGACCTTGGGAAGAGGAGGCCGGCTACGTGCGGCGGAGGAGGCCGAGATGGGGCGCGGGAGCTTGGGCGAAGAAGGGAGGGAGGCGTGGGTTCCGGCGTTTAGGGTTGGGTTGTGTTTGTGTTGTTGTCCAGTAAGTGAAGAAGACCTATTTTAACTCAAAGGTAGACTAAAATGACCCGACCTGTTTTTGACCCGAAACCTGACCTGAAAACATTAAGTTTTGAACAAAGGTTTTGATAACCGAATCCGAAGTTAACCGAATCCAAAATGACCCGCTAAAAATAGGTTAAACCCGACCGAACCCGACCTGACCGAACCGCTAAAGTTAGAATTTTTTAAAATCATAGAATATACTACTCATTTTTAGTGTATAAATTTATATTTTCAGACAAAATTTTAATGATATTACATAATTATCTTACTTTTTTCCAAAACTTTAAATTCCTTATATTGATTTATATATCTAAAAATTAATTCAGAATTTAAAATAAAATAATCTAATATATTTAATACATTTATTTTGATATTTTAAATTTATTTAATAAACAATGTAAGTGTTAATATTAATTTAAAAATTTAAAAAACCAAAGTTATAACCCGTTTGGTCGACCCGAACCCGATGACACTAGGACATGAACATACAGTTCTCAACCCGAACCCGAATTGACCCGAACCCGAAATAACCCGAACTCGAAGTGAACGAACCTGAACCCGACCTGACCGACCGATTTGCCAGGTATAGCTCGCAGGTGTGCGACGGACCACCACATCCCGTCGCTTATATTGGTGGCGGCGGAAATGTTTAATTTTGCACTAAAACTCTGCGACGGTTTAATTATTGGTTTCCGTCGCAGATATTATCGACGTTACCAAATTTTCCGACACCCGTCGCAGATTTCTCACAATCTGCGACAATGTTTTGTTCGTAGTAGATTTTCGTTGCGATTTTGGCAATTTCTTGTAGTGATTATAAATATAGAAGAATACACGGGAGCTTTTACAAAGAAGCTGAGAGATAAGGAATTTTGATCCTCACTTCTGATGGTTACACGAATATTTATACTAAGCTGCAGGGGGAAAAACCGCCGCTTGCCCATGTTGAGGCACGTTCCTGGGTGGTTGGAGGTGATGGCCTTCGTCCTTTAGCTGCTTTGTCATCTTGCGAGAAAGATTGTTCCCTTGTCATGTAGCACTCTGGATGGATTGTCCAAGCATCTCCAGCGATCTTTCATTGATCTTGGTCGCTACGGTCCAAGCCCCTTTGGACTTTTCTCTGCCGACGCTTCATAACCTTAGAAATCATACCGGGTGACTTCTGAAGGATGAGCTTCCTGAAACGGGTGATAAACGGGGTGATAGAGTAATTTGACCGTTATAAGTATACCGGTCAACCTTTGAGTCCACCAAACACTATTTCATTGACGACTTAGGTTTCCCATCTTGAAAAATCAACCTTGACCGGTTGGAAATATGAGTGTCTACGTTGACCGGTTCTAGGTGGAATACACCCATCAAATACCATACCCATGCTCAAATCGTGCCAAAAAATGAACGTACATTACTTAAAAAGTATTGAACTTAATGTATAATTTTGTATAAAAAACACAAGAATGTGAAATAAAAGTATTGACTTCAAATTTAAACGGATCATAAACATAAAGAATAAAAGATAACGAGTTCAAAGTTAAATTTTTTTTTCTAATTCATATAATATCGGAATACTAATAACTATAAAAAAATAATGCCGATAGTAATGATAAATATAATAACAACAATAGTAATGAGAGAGTTTAAAAGTAAATAATAAAATACGTATACACGGTAAGATGAAGTAGACAAATACTCCATAATTATTTGAGATACGTACTCCGTATATAGTGTTGGACGGTTTGGTCCGTGATAATCGGTTTTAAATATTTGTATCGCAGTCCCGTCCCATTTAATATCGGTTCGGTTTTGGTTCGTGATGAAAAAATCAATCCCGTTTGAAAACACTATAAACGGTTCGGTACCATTACGGTGCGGTATGGTACCATGCTAGTTCGGTTTTTTGCCCACCCCTAATTGAAACCGATATTCCTACTAACCCTTCTCAATAGTTTTAATAATAGGAAATCCTCTAAATAGTCTTTTATAAATGAGGTTATAAATGTGGGGTTTTTATATTTAGTCCATATTTATCAAATATTAAGTAGATAATCCTTATTAATTGGGTATCATTCCATGTTTAGTCATCCGTCTAGTTTTCCGTCTCCGTGCTGTTAGAGAATGAACAAACGTGGAATGGTATTCAATTAATAAGAACCAAGAAAATAATATTTGATAATATGGACTAAAAATAGAAATTCTCTCGTTATAAAGGACTACTTGGAGAATTTGTTCTTTTTAAGCACTTTTAATATAAAAACTAATAAATAGGAAAATGTATAACTGTATTTTATTTTGTACACCATAAGATGTCATTATACAATGTCATTTTGTCACAGTGCAAGCTCGTATTTTGAGAAAAAACATGAAATTCTTATTTTGAGGATAGTTGTTATATTTACTCCTACTTTGGATGATTTCGAATTACTTATTAATTTCTATCTCTTCCAAGAAAATTCTCATATTAAAAAATGAATCTTTTGGTAAATTATTTTTAATGATAATTTTGACTTTTTATATACAAACTACAATCATATTATTCATATACTTTTCATATTTATTGCTACCTTTGTCCTGATTATTGGTCCACTTTTGAGTTTTGTCAAAATTGACAATCTTCGACCATGAATTAAATATAACTAATATTAAATATTGATACAAAAATAATTTTATTGGATTTATTACATAAAATGTTTTTAAAATATTATTTTATTTAATAAACATACTATATATATTTTGTTTAACTGTAGGTCAAATGTTAAAAATGGCTAACTTCAAAAAGTCAAATCTCGACAAAATACTCGAAGACAGGGGTAGTACTTTTAATATTAAAAAGGATTTTAAAAAAGTAAATTCTCCAAATGGTCCTTTATAACGGGGGGATTTCCTTATTTAGTCCATATTAACAAGTATTATTTTCGTGATCCTTATTGATTGGGTATCATTCCATGCAAGGTCCTTTTATAACGGCACAGAGATAAAAAAAATAGACGGGGGACTAAACGTGGAATGATACCCAATTAATAAGGACTATCAACATAATATTTGATAAATGTGGACTAAATATGGAGACCCCCCCATTTATAAAGGATTACTTAAAGAATTTACTCTAATTTCATTGTCCCCTGGTTTTGGAAATTAGAATAAACGCCCTCTCTTTTTTTGTTTTTCTTCTTTCTACTACATTTTTCATAAATGTTACTCCGTATTTTAATTTTTTTAGAATTATTTTTTTTAAAGTTTTAATAATCAATTTTTTTTGAGTTTGCAATAAAAATTAATTAAATAACAAGAATTAATGTACACTCCAATGACTCCATATCTTTCAAATTAAATATTTTTATTTTTTATCCAAAAGAAGTCTTTATTAGTTTATTTTCATAACCAAAAATCAATAAAATACTCTCTTTTTTTTACTAAAGCTCATTTCTCATTTTATGTTCATTAATTTTATACCGTTATTTAAATCAAAATTAAAATAAGAGAAAAAAGAATAGAAAAGAAAATAAAGAAAACCAAAAGCATATGCAAAACACTTTTAAAGAATAGGAAAAATTAAGTCACCCATGAACAAAATCTTTTGCGCATTGGTCAAAAATTTTAATAATATACGGAGTATAATTAATTATATATTAAAAAGACGTTACCCAGTGTTCTTTTGGTCTCGACGTTATTGGATAAAGTTATTGGAGTACTCATATGTACGGAGTAATTGTTTTTCTTAAATTGCACAGATACAAAGGCAATCGTATCCGCCACATTTTCCCGACCACATTCACTCCTTAAACCAAACTTAGAAAACCTATAAGTAGAAACAGATGCTCCGTATAAAGATCAAGCATCTCACACCCTTGTTTCTATCATCAAAGGCCGGCTATGGCAGCTGCAAAATTTGAGAAGACGGAGGATGAATGGAGGGCCATCATCTCCCCCGAGCAGTTTCGGATCCTCCGAGAAAAGGGCACCGAGTAATTCCCCCAATCTTCCGTTTTTACAATATGGATTTTAGTCTTGGAAATACTCATTTTAACATGGCCCTGTTTGGAAAATGGCTTTTCGGATAGCTTTTGGCATGTTTGACTGACTTTGGCTTTTTTTACTGAGCGAACAGCCAAAATCGTTGTTTGGCTAATGGCTTTTTCACTTGGCATTTTGATCCGAAAAGCCAAAATCCGAAATGCCAAGGGGAGTAGCATTTGGACTTGGCTGTTAGAAAAATTAATTTTTTTTAAATTCATTTTTCTTGAAAGATATTTTATAATATATGTAAAAGCTAAAACTAAAAATAAAAAATAAAAAATTAAATACTAAAAAAAATTAAAATTAAAAATTAAAAATTTCAAAAAAATGAAATGAGAAAATAAAAAGTAAAAATCATTAAAAAGTTGTATATTAATAATTTCTTATGAATTAAATGAAAGTAAAATTTGATACTCCATATAGTAAATATTTAATTTTTACATGTAAAAAAATGAAAAATAAATATCGTGTCTATATATATATATATATATATATATATATATATATATATATATAAAACTATTTTCAAACAGCTAATTTTACCAAACATTTTTAACAATCAGCCATTTTATCCTGTCGGTCAAACCAGCTGAAGTAAACAGTCATTCACAACAGCTGACACGAACTGCCAACAGCTGACAGCCAACATCCAAACAAGGCCCATGTCCGTATCATATTGGTCTAATCATTCTTCTTCCTTTCTTCACCATCGCATCTTTCTTATTTTCTTGCACTAGAAATGTGAATTCTGAAATGACACAAGTGAGTTGCTTCGCAGGTTGCGTGGTACAGGAGAATATGACAAGTACTTCGGGGACGACATCTACAATTGCACGGGCTGTGGCACGCCGCTCTACAAGTCTACGACCACGTTCGACTCGGGGTGTGGGTGGCCCGCCTTTTACGAAGGTTTCCCGGGGGCAATCACCCGGTCTCCGGACCCTGATGGGAGGAGGACTGAGATCACCTGCACTGCCTGCGGCGGGCACCTTGGCCATGTCTTCAAAGGAGAAGGCTACAAAACACCCACGGACGAACGCCATTGTGTGAACAGTGTTTCGATCAAGTTTGCTCCTGCAAGTTCTTCCGATTCCTGAACTCGTGCGTTTCTTCCTCTTTTGGAACTGAAAAAAATAATCTCTTGCTGTTTGTTTGAGATGATGCTCTTCATACAATATATTTCTATATATATATATATATATATATATATATATATGTTTTGTTATGAAGTGGTGTGAGTTGGTTACTTGGTTTTATAATGAGTTTATGAGGTCAAAATGTTATTAGAAGTTGGCTTGTACTCCAATGTCTTTTCTTCAATACTCTCATGTCCCAAAAAAATTAAGGCTCACAATGGTTGAAAAAGGTGAAATTGAATAGTTTAATACGGAGTATAAACCAGACAAATTTGTTTTAAAGGAAAAATGGAACTTAATTTTGAGATAAACCAAAAAACAAATGAAAAACTTATATGGGACACATACTGTTCGATAGAGTTTATATACTACATACATCCAGTATCTTTTGTAGAATCCACATAGTGCATGATCGAAAATTGATATACGTAATACGTGTATAATATTATTTTTTTATCAACAACACGACAACTTCATTCCTCATTCAGAAAAAGAGTTACATAAATCGAAAGCCACCAACTGCATAACCTCGCTAGGACCTTCTCCTAACCAAAATTTATAATCTGAGTTACAGAATTTAGAACTAGCAAAGTTATGAGCAACGGAGTTACCACACCTTTTGATGTGTGTAACTTGAGCTTCAGAATGAGGGGAAAGCAATCTCCTTCTCTCAATCTCCGCTCCTTTAAACCCATTACCTCAATCTCCGCTCATCTAGTGGCTTGGTAATAGACCGAAAAGTGTGTGGTTGTGGAAGCCAATTGTCCTTCTAAGCCACCTGCATCCTTTCCCTAAGATCCATTTCGCCACGCATATACTTCACCACGTGTAGCTCGGATTCTTCCCTAGCTAGAGGAGAGCTTGGGTCAGTTAGTAATCTCCATCCTTGTTTTGCCAACAACGCCATGTTAAACGCTTTCAAATCCCTGAAACCCCAGCTCCCCTTCATCTTTTTTCTCACACAAAGAGTCCCAATTCACCCACCAAAACTTCTTGATCATAGCTTGGATATCATCGCAAAGAACATCTGGAAATCTGAACATACTCATAGCATATGAAGGAATGGCTTAGGCTACTGCCTTAATCAACACCTCCCTCCCCGACCAGGACAAGAACTTCTCTTTCCACCCATTTAATCTTTTCCCCACCCTCTCCTTTATATTCACAAAAGGTTTCTTTTTTGACCTTCCTATAAAAGTAGGTAAGCCCAAATAAGATTCAAAATGGGGTACCCCTTTCGCTCTTAGGGTTTGACACACCTTTTCTCTGGTAGAAAACCTCACCCCCTGCTGAAAATAATACCGATTTTCTCAAAATTAATCTCCTACCCCGAAGCCTTGGAATATGAGTTCAGACTATCTTGAATTTTCCTTACTTGGGGAATCTTCACTTCACAGAAAATCAAAGTGTCATCTACAAGAAAAGTCTCATGACCTCACACATCTCATGACCATACTGACCCAAGAAAGTCTAAAGCCCATCTTAATCATGACCGCTTCAAGAAAGTCCCACTCAACCCTATCATAGGCTTTACTCATATCTAGCTTAAGAGCTAACCCCCCATTAACTCTCATATCTCTATGCATGGAATGGAAAATTTCAAAGGCTAGCAATGCATTGTCGCTAATCAATCTACTAGAAGTAAAAGCACTTTGGTTCTCAGAAATAATGTTTGGGAGAATTACTCCTTCTAAGTCTTCTTGAGATGAAACCAGATTCCCCTCTTCGTTTTCCAACTCCTTTATCTCATTTGTTCTTCTTCTTCTTATATTAGCCCTCTCGTGAAGCCATCTTGAGTTTGAGTCTCCAAACTTGAGGAAGTCAGCTCTCGCTCTTTGCCACCACATTATCTCTTCTTTTCGTTTGAGTTCATTTATCACTTGTAGGATTCGTCTTCTTTCTTCTTTCCTGGAAACTTTTGAGCCTTCTGTGTTCATCTTCTAATAACGTGCGCACATTCCCAAACTTGGCCCAGTTCCACTCGGATAACTTGTCTGCGCATTGTTTGAGTTTCACTTCACAAATCTCAATAGATTCCTTTCTTTATTTATTTTATTGAACCCCCAGTTTTCAGCCCTATAACCCCTTCATGCCCCTTAGACCCGCCTAAAAACTCTTTCCCTCCAGCCCCTACCAACCGACCGTCAATGTGAACTCATGCCCATTCGCACCACCACCTCTTAACGTGGTTCCTCTTTGTCTCCTTCTCAAATTGCAGTCTCATTTTCCCCTTACAAGATTCTCTCAAGCCGATCACTAATCTGTTCTCATTTTCTATATCAGACCCATATACCCTGCCCTTACCTTTAATTGGCGATGCTTTGAGCCAATTCCCAAATGGCAACTCATTTTATGGAGTTTCTTCATCATATTCACTGCACTCCCTCCCAATATGCCCGAGTCTACCAAAGAAATAACAGAAGCATGTTAATTTTTCATATTCGAAGTAAACCCAAATATAGATTTAGTTTTCTTCCACGACACAAAGGCTTATTAATGTTAATTCTCATTCTGACCCTTATTGAAGTAATAGTGGGATTAGGGCTGTAAATGGATAACCAAAAATTCAATTACCGTCTGTATCTGTATCCGTTTATATGAAAAATATCCGCATCCGTTAAAAGCGGTTATTATCCGTATCCGATTGCTAAACGGATACGGATGTAGTAATCGTACATCCGATCTGTTTATAATTCACTCCGCATTGGCATCCGATTAAATAATCGTTTATCCGTGTATCTGATTTGTTATATATAGTTTTTCCTAATTTTTTATTTTTATATTTTGTTTCTCTATTGATATCTCAAAGAATAAGACATTTTTATATGCAAAATATATGTGTAGACGCATAAAAATATGTGTCGATATACAAAAATATGTGTATATGTGTACTGTGTATATCTTTTTATGATATGAAATCATCGTAGAATATCATAAACTTTAAAAAATAAGAAAATAATTAGAGCCCGGTTCCATGGCCACTGGATTCCAGTGGCCACGGAAGCCACTGCCCCCTACGGAGCTCCGTTCATAAAATTGATGATTCTTACCCCCCCTAACCTCCCCGGTAAACCCCCCCGCCAAGTCCCGACCCAAACTAATCACCCCACCTACGTCAATTGCACCTCGCAAGTATAAAGTCAAAAGTTTTGACTTTAAAGTCAATTATACTTACGAGGTGCAATTAACGTAGGTGGGGTGATTAGTTTGGGTCGGGACTTACCGGGGGGTTAGGGGGGTAGGAATCATCAATTTTATGAATGGAGCTCCGTAGGGAGGCAGTGGCTTCCGTGGCCACTGGAATCCAGTGGCCATGGAACCGGGCTCAAATAATTATCCCATAAAAAATTATAGTTGATTTTATAAAATTTTGATTTAGTTTAATTGAAAATTAAAATATTGTTTAATTTGGTTTTAAAAATTGGAAACGGATACGGATATATTCGATATCCGACCGATATCCGACGGATGCGGATACTATTTTGATTTTCAGTATCCGTCAAGATCCGTATCCGAATTTGATATCCGGCAAAAATAAACGGATACGGATTTGGTAATGACACATCCGATCCGATTAATATCCGTTTATACCCCTAAGTGGGATTCAATATTTGAAATTGGCTAAAATTTATCATTGATCCTTCAAGTTTGTGAGTTGTGCATGATTAGTTCTTCAAGTTTCAAACGTTTATAAAAAATGTTTTAAGTATTCAACAATCTTCAAATCTAGTCCTTCAAGTTTCAAAAGTTCATAAGTAATTCTTCAAGTATTCATCAATCTTCCAAATGCAGTCCTTGTTTATGATACACGTTAAAAGCTAAATAGAATACAAGCTCCATATATATAACGTTCGACCTGCAATGAGTGCCCAGATGCCAGATACAACTTTTTGGCCAGATACGACTAGCTCCATATATATAACTTTCGCCTCAGTGCCAGATACGACTTTTCGACTTGCAATAGGTGCCCGGAGCTAGCCCCGTCCTCCGAGCAGTGGGTCTTTTCCTCCCACTGTAAATGCTGGGAATAATTTTACTTCCAAAAGGGTTCAATTTGTATAGTTAAAAACACAAAACTTTGATTGAAATTGTGAAAACTCATTAATTCCATATACGTAAAAAACAATCACCTACGTATATGTACAAGTACTTCGTATTATATACATGGAAGTAGTAATTCGTTTTTCTTTTAATGTGTACCGTAAAAAGGACTGCATTTAGAGGGTTAATGAATATTTGAATTACTACTTATGAACTTTTAAAATTTGAAAGACTGTATTTAGAGGGTTGATGAATACTTGAAGGACTACTTGCAGACTTTTGAAACTGGAAGGACTTCATGTGGAGGATTATTAATACTTGAAGGACTATTTATGGACTTTTGAAAACTTGAAGGACCAATCGTGCACAGCTCATAAAGTTGAAGGACCAATTGTGGATATTAGCCTTTAAAATTTAAGAGTTTTGGGGTATTGGCCTAAATAGAAATCTGGCCCAACGGCCCAATGCCCATAAGCTTCGAGAATGGTCATGGGCTCATGGCACAATGAGTGCAAGCTTATGCGGATCGACACATTCTCATGGCCAAATCAGATGGTACTGCCCGATATACTTTTCTCTTAGTAGTGAACTTGTAATTAAAAAATATTTTAAGGTAAACGTTACGTTGTTTTGGAATTAATACTATGATCTACAGTGATTCAGACTGAACATGTTTCAAAATTAATACTACATTGTTTCAGAATGAACACTATGCAGAAGAATCATAGTCACTTTACCATTCGTTTTACCCAAATGGCAGGATTTTATTTTTCCGCTTGTAATTGTTGTATGTATTAACAAGAACATGGTATCACTTTCTTTTTTTGTCATAAATAAATTTGGCATTTTTTATGTCAAAAACGAGGATTTTTTTAGTAAATTCTCAAAACGGTCCTTTCTAATAAGGTATTTTTTCAAATTAGTTATCAATAAACAATAATTACCAATACAATTCTTTGTAATTGAGATATATATTCTCTCAATATTCCTCTATCAAAAATGCTTATTAAATGACAGTTAAATGGAGGATATATTTGTATTTTTCATCATCTAAACTATGAACAAATCTTCAAAATAGTTCTTTCAAATTAAGTTGATGGCCGCTAGAGGAACATACCCACACTGAGTAGGCTCATTGACTCCATTTCGGGGAAACATTTACTTAGAAATTATCAGTTTGGAAAAGTACCTAATCATTAAAGAGCATTTCGAGAACATACTATAAGTCTAGATGATAGAAAATACCAAAACACCTTCTTTTTGAGTGACAATTGATAGACATTTTTGGCAGAGGACTATTTAGAGAATACATTTCAATTACAAATGACCATGTTGGTAATTATTGCTTATTAAAGACTAATTTGGGAAAATAACTTATTAGAAAGGATTTTGAGAATTCACTCTTTTTTTTAGTTTCCATTTTTTATGAAGATGTTGTAATATCTTATAATACACCTGCAACATTGTGTGAAACACACTGTGACGAGATTAGAAAACTTGTGTGTGAGAATTGAGATTGCGACATACCAAATTAGAACCAGAGACTGCAAATACTTATTGAGATTTATTTATTATATTTCGAACTTATTTCATAATTGAAGTCTTTATCCTAAATACTTTTATGGATCAAGATTAAGAAATTGTATTCGAGAGAATTTCAAGTTACATATACTGCTAAGAATTGGAATTAGAATTACTTGAATGATTGAGGGGAAAAATGCAAAACATTTGGTATAAACTGATAGTTCGGAAAGAGAGGCATTGACTCATTGTGCGTCATTAAATTGAGAAAAATATAAACAAACACTACATTGCAATCGAGTGTTAACAACCTAATATCCCTTAATTTGATACTACTACTCGTTTATTTTTGGTTTTCCTTCTTATTTTCTCGTCTCCTCGGTCTCCTCTCTTGCTTTTCTACAACTCTTCTTACTTTTTCTTTCTTCAATAAAACTTTTCTTACTTTTTCTCATTTTATACCCCATCCAATAATAGATATTCATATAAGTTTTACTCGTTAAACGTGTTTTTAAACTAATCCGTATTTTTTTTTGAAGTACTCCATAAATAAATTGGGAGTGAAATAAAATAAAGGTGAAATTTACCTGCTCAAACTTTCAATGCATTTTAGTTGGGGGGATATACAAACAAGAATACAAGAGAGAAAGAATGGCAATAAATACGTAAACAAATAAACGAGGAAAACAGAACAGTCGATTTTCCTACTCTCTCTCCGATGGTGCTTGATTTATCACACCTTTGATCGCTCAAACAATAAGCCCGAATCTGGTACGGATTCATCGAAGAAATCACGATTTTTTTAAATCATATTTCCTCATTTTCAAATCGATCCTTAACTGGAACGGAACGAATTTTCTCGATTTTCAGCTTAATCCTTTTGATCTATGAGCTGGTTGTGATTTTCTGGCATGGTTGATGGGTGATCCTAAGTCGATTGTTTAGTTATTACATTTAATGCTCTGTGTGGTTTTTTGTTTCTGTGGATTGAACAAATGTTATGTCTGATCGATGCTGTTGATAACTTTGATTGATTCTTGTTGATCATGATACTTTCTGGATTCAACGGATGAGTGTTGTGTCATTTTGTGATTCAACAGTTTGTATTTGATCATTGGATTGATGATTTAGACTCACTAAGAGTAGATTGATTATATTGTAGATAGATAGTTAACAATTTGCTTCAAATAGCAGATTTTCCAGTGCTTTATATATATACGGAGCATGTTAATGAGTATTTTTTTTTATAAATGTGGTAAATGGATTTATAAATTATTCAATCACATATGAAGTTCTGAAAGAAGATTTATATAGGTGAAGCTGAGGAATGGCATCAATGGTTGCAAAGGCGTGTACTACTACCACTACCACTCAGATGTCACAAGTTATGACACTCGCAGAAAATGGAAGTAGGAATAAGAGGAAATTCAGGGCAGATTCACCTTTAGCTGATATGAATAAATTCGTACCTGACACTCAGAATGACTGCACAAGTTACAAATTTTCTGTGGATAAATTTGGAATTATCCCAAGCCACAGGAACTTCAATGGGTGTGATATGTGCGGTCTAAAACGTGACAAATCAGAGAGTTTGAAGCTTGAGCTTGGATTATCATGTGCTGTAGGGTCAATGGAAACAGAGTCAAGCCGAACAACAACAGAGGATGTTGAAGGTACTGAAGATTTCCATGATGCTGACTGGAGCGATCTCACGGAATCTCAGCTAGAGGAGCTTCTTTTGACGAACTTGGATGCAATCTACAAGAGTGCAATTAAGAGAATAGTAGCATGTGGTTATAGTGAAGAGATTGCAAACAAGGCTGTGTTGAGGTATGGGTTTTGCTATGGAGGTAAGGATATTGTGTCAAATATAGTGGACAACGCACAAGCTTTTCTCAAAAGTGGCCAAGAGATTGATTCATCCAAGGAGCATTATTTTGAGGACTTGGAACATATGAAGAACTATGTATTGGCTGAATTAGTTTGTGTTTTGCAGGAGGTTAAGCCTTTTTTCAGCACTGGTGATGCTATGTGGTGCCTATTAATATGTGACATGAATTTGTCACATGCATGTGCATTGGATGACCCTCTGTTTAGCTTTACCGGGGACGGGGCTTCAAATGAAAATTCATTGGCTTCTATGCGACCTCAGTTGAAGGCAGAGTCTAAAAGTATCCAATCCAAAGCTGCAAGTTCTGGTCAAGAAGTGGCTTCTGCCTTTTGTGCTTATTATCCATCACTCACAGCTGACACAGCTTCAACTACCTATGGGCACAGCCCTCAGTCTGATGCACCTGCAGTAGTTCCACGTGCTAAACCCCATTCTTCTGTCCTCAATGGACTTGTCACAGAGCAAGAACGTTCAACTAAATTGTTTAGCACTGCTGAGAAATCCCTTACTGCAGCTGGAGTATCACATCCTATAGTTTCAGAGAAGTTTGTTAGCAGTAGAAAAAATTATGGAACCACAAAGAGGGAGTATTGTCTTAGACAAAAATATCACCTGGAGAAACACTTAAGAACATATGGGTCTAAAGGATCTAGAGCTGGAAAGGCTGGAAATGTTGGTGGGTTACTGCTGGATAAGAAACTAAAGGCTGTGGCAGACTCTACTGGATTGAGTATGAAGACTGCCCCTTTCAAGACAAACACGACCAAAGCCGAGGATCAGTTTAATTGCATCAGAAATCATAATGTCTCAACAAGCAATGGACTTCCTTCGACATCCATATTTGGTTCAGAGGATCCTAGTGCCACCTTTACAGCGCCTATTTCAACTATCCCATATCTATTTCCTCAGCCGATCGAGACCTCTCCTTTAGTATCAGTTGCTGAGACCGAGAATTTTCTCCCATCACCTTCAAAATGCATCTCCATCCAAATGCCTATCAGCTGTTGTGATGAGGTGCTTAACTATGGTAATACCGCAGGAAAAGAAAAACATATTACTCAATGGGCTGCACATGACAAGAAAGATGAAATGATTTTGAAGCTGTTCCCAAGGGTGCAAGAATTGCAGAATCAGCTTCAAGAGTGGACGGAATGGGCTAATCAAAAGGTTATGCAAGCTGCCCGCCGACTGAGTAAGGACAAAGATGAGCTAAAGATTCTCAGGCAGGAGAAAGAGGAATTTGAAAAGCTCAAAAAAGAGAAGAAAACTTTGGAGGAAAACACTATGAAAAAGCTGCACGAGATGGCTAGTGCCTTAGGTAAAGCAAGTGGGCAGGTGGATCGAGCTAATGCTGCCATGCGAAGGCTTGATGTTGAGAATGCCGTGTTAAGAAGGGAAATGGAAGCTGCTAAATTACATGCAGCAGAGTCAGCTACAAGCTGTCATGAGGTGCTAAAGAGAGAAAAGAAGACACTGGCGAGGTTTCACTCCTGGGAGAAGCAGAAAATAATGTTCCAGGATGAACTTGCCATTGAAAGACGCAAGTTCACTCAGCTGCAAAAAGAGCTGGAGCTAGCAAAGGATATTCAAAATAAATTTGAGGTATGGCTTATTCATATTCACTGATTATAGAAATAGACAGCCCTAGGGATAGAAGGGATTATTGTTTATTATTTTAGCTCTATGTCATTTTGACGAGGGAAGAGGTGAACAAGAAGCTTGACCAGTGGAGAGCGGCTTCATAAGCACGTTACATGCACATTAGCCTCTGTAAGAAAGAATATCAAATATCTTTAGTGCAATTTTAGCGGGATGCCGGGAAGCAAACTTAAGAAGAGGTGTAGTTTTGGGAGCAAAGAGCATTGCAAAGGTACGACTTCAAGTATTTTGGCTCAATCTCTCAAAAAGAGGGGGAAATGAATGGCAACGCCACACACCATATATAGGTAGGGTGCTTAAAGTGGAATGCTGTGTCAAGATGCTATGTGACAAGAAGGTTCAGTCAAAATTGAAGGGTACATTCTACAGCGTAGCCATTCGACCAGAAGAAGGCAAATGAGTAGAAGTTTCATGTTGAAGAGACGAGGATGTAGGGATTCTATTTGTACAATGTTGGATAGAATACCGAATGTAGTATAATGGAAAGAGCTAGGACTCACGCCTATTACTGATGAACAAAGAGGTAGCAGACCATGTTGATTTAGTTTGGTTTATCTCACAAACACAATGGCATGAAGAGGATCACAAGTGTTTACGTTGAGGGGACGAAGATGAGAGACAGCCCATGATGGATGTGATTAACAGTTGAGACTAGACTTGATGGCTTTAAACCTCTCTAACGACATTGCATGCAATTGGAGTTCCTGGAGACGACATTGTAGAGTCCTTGTAGGGGTTGTGAGCAAGTGTTGTTGGGGGTTGGGTTCTCTTTGCTCTCTGTTGTGTGGGGTTTGTATGTTTTCTCCCTTGTGTGAGTGCTTACCTTCTTTTGCCTTGTTTGCTTTTGTGTCTTAACACTACTCACACAACGTCTTTACTGATTGTTGGGGTCCTCTCTTAACAGTTTCCTACTCTTTGGAAAAGAAGTAAGGTGTGTGTACATCTTACCTCCCAGACGCTACTTCCGAGTGGGATAATGAGCATTATTGGTGTGATTTCGTTTTCATTTAGACAATCAAGGTTTTCTTCTTTTAACATGGTATGCCCCCAAATATTGGGACCAAGATCTCTTTGGTGTTTGATCTCTACTCCCAAATCATAACTTAGTGTAATGCTTCGAATGTTTTTTGGATTTTTGAATCGTAGTGGAGAAGAGCATCATTCACAGCTCTGTTTTTGTATCAGGCAAATGGCATAGCATTGGCAACGACCTATCTTTCCTAATGCATTTTACAAAATTCATTACTTTGTTTTACCTTTTATGGTGGTTCGGCATGGTGTTAAAGGTTGGTTTTGCGTGAGAAATATATTCAAGTCATCTCAGTATATCTGTTGTATAATTAGGCAATTTCCATTGTCATTTCACCATTTGTATGAAGGTGGGAGTTGATAGCTTTTGGGTATTAGATTCTCAGGGAAGACTAACCTTGTAAATTTGTAATCTGTTGGCATGGTCATCTTGCTTAGTCCTGCTACTATTACAAATCATTTTGAAAGATTTTTCATTGCAATTTTGGTTTAAAAATGTAGTTACCGAAGTGTTTCCTGGTAAGAATTTCTCATTAAAAAGTTTGAACCTCGCAGGCTAGGTGGAAACAAGAACAGATTGCAAAGGAAGAATTTCTTTCGCATGCAAGATCACTAAAGAAAGAGAGACAACAAATTGAAGCTTCATTTAAATCCAAGGAAGATGTGATCAATTTGAAAGCAGAAGGCAACTTGCAGAAGTATAACGATGACATTGAGAAGCTGGAAAAGGAAATATCCAAGTTGAGGCTGAAAACCGACTCATTGAAAATAGCTGCTCTCAGAAGAGGCGCCCTAGATGGGAGTTACGCAAGTAAACTAACCGACCCCAAAACTCAACCGCAGCCAGAGGAAAACCATTTACATCACATTTCAAGACTGATAGCCGATTTCCGTGATTATTGCAACATTGGTGGGGTGAAAAGGGAGCGCGAGTGTGTCATGTGTTTGTCTGAAGAGATGTCTGTTGTTTTTCTTCCATGTGCCCATCAGGTAGTCTGTACAACGTGCAACGAGCTCCACAAGAACCAGGGGATGAGAGACTGTCCTTCTTGCAGGAGCCCAATCCAGCAGCGTATTTGTGTACGTTTCCCTCACTCTTAGCTTACATCTGGAAGAGATAAAATTATTAAAAAAAAATTGTCACTTGCGGAACTCCTGCATACCAATAATGCAATTGAAGAAAACGATAGTACCGAAGTTTGTGTCCAGTAATTGTTACCGATTAAATTTTATTAAGAAAAAACACTACAGAAGTAAATGTCAGTTGTCAGAAGAAGCTGTGAGGTTTGTATATCATCTTCTCTTCACAGGAATAAAGTTTGTGGTTTCTTGTTTGAAGTATTTATGCAACATACGTTTTCTGGTATTGATTGGTGCTGTGAATGATAGTTGAAGGTCCCTTCCTTGATATAATAAGACTATTGGAGTAAATATCATTTTTGTTTGTTCGAGTATTGAAGTGTCCAGAGTTGTTCAGTTTGTCAATGTTCGTGTTAAGGTACAATGGTAAATGAAAAAGATTGAAACCGTTTGATAAAAGCTAGTTGTGAAGAATGGTTCTCTTTGATAAAACTAATATTTGCAACTAGATGAACTTGTAAAAAGACACCAAAGTTATTATATAAATGAGTTACTGCGCAGTATTTTTTATGTGAACAATGTATAGCGATGGGCGAGCCTTTGAGGCACTGAGATAATGTTATTAGGCATTAAGATACTGTTATTGCTGTTGTAATGTATGGTGAAAGTTATCACCAAGTATGCATTGACTTATTCCATGGTTCGCAATGTTTTTATACGATAGTGTTTCTAACATAAATTCTCTAAGAATACACATTATCACCCCCAAATTATAGATATAAAGCTCTTGGAACAATTAATTCAACGACACATCTTATTTGTATAGCCCTTATCTCTTTATTACTAATATCTTGACTTAACACAAGGTATGAGGTGTGTCACCTTGTTAGAGTTAAATTGATGGTTTACTGATTCTCTGATTGACTTGTGGATTCAAATAACATATTTATTTGGGCATGACCATGCATTTCCCAAGTCACATCAATCAGTGGGCCCTTAGATATTATACTTCATTAAAGAAGGGATAAATTCTATCTATGTCATTCACATCTTCGCTTAGGTTTCATTGCATACCCAAAACCTAATTGTACATCCACCAATATTTCAGATGACATAAATCATGCTTCAAAGTATGGAACTCAACTTACCAAAGATCGTAATGATTTCAAGTCGAAGGATAATTATACTAATGGTCGCATGAGAATAATATTAACACTTTAACTTAAACCCATATATTATTCTCATAGCGGGTCAATCCAGCAACATATCCAATATGTTTGCCTACGTATAGATTCAGATAACACTTTATCTATAGCCTATGAGACGCAGCTATCTCATCTCATACGTATTAGTCTTGATTTATTATGATGTTCGTATTGTCATAATATTTGACTAAGGATATTTTAGATGTAGTTCTCATGTGTGTTACTAGAGCGCCTACTCTATGGACTAAAGCTATGTTTAAATCACACGAGATGACTTAAACAATCTTTAGGGCCTATTGTTCTTGATATAATATAGATATGGTATCATAAGTTGGCCTCTAGGGCTCACTTATATTCAACAGGTGTGAGCGCACGTGTTGTCCCAATATGTGGTATCGGTTCCCATGTTCGTGCAGGTAGGATTAGCTGAAAGCATTGTGCGAACTTCTCGGTGTGCCTAGTGTGACAATATGACCAAAGGTCTGCACGGTGCCTTGTGTCAAAACTCGTTCTAGCAAGTGGTGGTCGGCGGCTGTCCCGTTTGGCGTTAACAGCGGTACAAGATGATTTGGCAGATAAAATGGTGTGACCTTAGCGGATTGGTAGTGTGTGGTATACCTTGTGTCGAAAGTCTTCTTGACAAGTTGTGGTCGGGTGGTGTGTCTCGTTTGGTGTGACCTTAGAAGATTGGTGGTTTGTGGTATACCTTGTGTGGAAAGTCTTCCTGCCAGGAGGAGGTCAGGTGGTGTGTCACGCAGGTGTGTAGCGGCGATGCAAGATGGTGTGCAGATCAAATGGATAATCGCTAGAGGGGAGGTCATGAGATTATGTGGTCTTGGTTTGAGGGGAGATTTGTTGGGATACAAACAAATCCCACACTAGAGGTTTAAAAGAAGATGAACCAAAATATAATGGTTACCTCAATCCCACAAGTATGAGGCCTTTTAGGAGGTGCCCAAAAACAAATCCGTGAAGGCTTGACCTATAGCAGACAATATCATACTAATGTGGGGTTAGGGTGAGGGCACGCGCTGTCCCAACACATTCGTATCTACCTCTTAATTATGGAGGATTCTAAAATGGTTAACTCCTCCTATATATAATCCCTTATAATACTCTTGTGGTCCATTCAAGAAAAGAATATTTCCATTATTTTACATGGTCTCAGAGCCAAACACAAAAACTCTAGCCTCTCCTCCATTCGGCTCTCTCCCTCTGCAAACAGCGTCACATCCTTTTACTACCTCTACCACTCCCTCAACACCTCCGTCATCAAACCCTCCCCGTCTCACCTTCACCACCATATCCAACATCAAATTACATATACCAATTCAGTTGAGCATCTCTGCCTGAAGCTACAAAAAATGGAGTCACCAATGTCTCTTTATTCAGCAATTTAACCTTCATGGTTTTCTTTCTAGCGCTATGAAACCCTCAATCTAGTGATGATGATGTCAATTGGGTCCAACTTGAGGCCCTTCTTCAAGGATGAATTCTCTCTACTATCTCCGACGAGGTGTCTGACCTCGTCATCACCTCTCATGACACTGCGACAGCCCTATGGAAGTCAATCCACAATCTCTTCCATGACAACAAGAATGCTAGAGTTATGCAACTTGAACACCAATTCATCACCACCGTCAAACACACCAAATCTATGTCTGAGTACTATCGAACCCTCAAGAATCTAGCGAATTATTTGGATGGTGTGGATGCACTGGTTTCGGATAACCAACTCATAATTTTCTTAATTACACTACTATTAAAAATGTTGGGATACAAACTCAATCCCACACAAGTGGAGAATGCGAAATGAGACCTAAACAATTAGGTCTAGTCAAACCCATTAATATTAGGCCTTTTGGGAGATGTTCAAAATCAAATTCATGAGGGCTTGACTTATAATGGACAATATCATACTAATGCAAGGTGTGGGTACGTGCGGTCCCAACATATGGTATCGGAACCTAGGTTCAAAGGGTAGGAGTGATGAACCGACGTGTGCGGACTTCTCAGAGTGATAGTGGCTAACAAGAAAAAGGACCAGAGTGGATCCACAGAGGGATTTGGGTGTTGTGCCGAAGCTTTAGCAAGTCTTCATTCAAAGGCTGAATAGGTATGAACTCACAGCTACGAGAGAGAGTGGTTTAAAATTTTTGACGTCAATTATGAATTGAGAAGTAGGGCTCTGCAACCATATATGGGAAGTGGGTGTATTTGGTTGAAGGGAAAATATTTTCCTAGATGAATATTTTCCAATGGAAAATAATTTCTAAGGAAAATTATTTTCCAATCATATTTTTTGTTTTTTGGTAGCAAAAAAAATATTTTCTTAAAAAAATATTTCTTTTAATTAATATTTAAAAATTCAAATTCCAAACTTGCCAATTTCACATTATAAATTTTAACACACGAAAATACCGAAAATAAAATTTATTTAAATCTGGAAATTTGATTTTCAGAATAATACTGACCCAAAGTAAATATTTGTAGAAAATATTAATTTTGGAAACTCGGAACTAATTTTTGGAAAAGTAAAGTCCGATTTAGACTATTTAAATACATAATTTCAAAAATAAATTTTATAAATGCTAGACATTTTATTTTCAGATTTATAAGATCAGAATACACATTCTAGAATTTAGTTATTAATTTTCAAAAGGTATAAGTATTTATTTCGAATTAAAATCCCAATTTCGAAATTAGTACCTATATTTACGGAAATTAATTATTTTAAAATTCAGGAAAATTCAAAATTAAATTTTGGATATTCTTAAGTTTTAAAATAAATTTAAATAAAATTATGTGATAATTTTTAGGCTTGTAGTTTATTTTTCTTAGAATAAACTAGGTCTGGGGCAAGCCTGGCTTGCCCGGTGTATGGATTTTATGCATGAAAACTAAATACGGCATGCGTGTCATGGTGCATGGTTGTGGCTTAGAATGTGTGTTTTTTAAATACGGCATGCGTGTCGTGCCTCATCTCTAAATTCTGATTGTAAATCTCTTCTTAAACCTCAAACCCCTTGCTTACAAAGCAAGGATTCTTTTCTCTCGATTAAACGAAGAAGTCCATGAAGAAGCAATGAAGATGAAGGAGCTAAGAAGAAGAGGACATTAGCAAGAAGGGCTGAACTTGAAGGCTGAATAACTCTTAAAGAAAGAAGGTGAAGCTAGAGATAGAGATCTCAAGTGAAAGCTTTATCGTTAGTTTTTATAGGGGGCCACAACCATGTCACATTTTAATCATTATACATGTTTGTATGTTTGAATGTATGTTTGTATGATATTCGCTAGTGTATGTGCGCGGCACATGCCATAGGTGAAATCACGTTTAAAATCCCTCGTAATATTAAGTTTGTGCCTTCCGACGCTCACTCACTCGTCGATACTAGTTTCAACTAGTCAATGGACTCGCCAAAGCGGGACGCCTGGTCTACATTGGTATGACGCGAAATCCGTAACAATGGATACTGAGTAAACCCCGGGTTGGACTTAACTAAGTTAAGGTAAAAGGATGAATAACTTAGAGGCACATAGTTAGGTTAATAAATAAAATCAAATTCATCTAGCCTAGAGTGGTAAAATGTTACAATTGGAAATAGTTCCTACCTGAAATAGTTTAACTATAGGGCAAGATGCAAAACACAACTATAGTTAGATGAAATAAGGATCTAGGCCCACTAAGATATCTCTTTAGGAGAATTCTCGAATCAACAGGTTACGTACTTGAGGGTAGTTGATTTGTTAAAATAGTGGGAGAGTTTTTAGTTAAAGACCTAGCTAATTACTTAAATTCTTGATATTAACTATTTTGCAAATTATATGTAGATGTCTAATAACAACCATAACCTCACTCTTCGCTCGATCCTCGACAAAGATAAGTTGACCGGCTCTAACTTCTTAGACTGGCAAAGAAACCTCGTTATTGTTCTTCGACTTGAGAAGAAAGAGTACGTGCTCGAACGAGCGATTCCACCCATCCCGGCCGCCAATGCTTCTAGAGCTATCAAAGATGCTTATGAAAAGCATGTTGATGATGACAATGAGGTGGCATGTCTCATGTTGGCTACGATGACTTCTGACCTTCAGAAACATCACGAGAGTATGAAGGCGTACGATATGATCATACACCTAAGACAGCTCTACCAAGGACAAGCTGGGAATGAGAGATTCCAAATGTCCAAAGCTCTCTTTAGTTGCAAGTTCTAAGTTAGAAACCCCGTTGGTCCGCATGTTCTCAAAATGATTGGCTATGTCCAAACTCTTGAGAAGTTGGGTTTTCAAATTAAGGACTGAACTTGCAACTGATCTATTCTGCAATCGTTGCTAGAGTTGTACAAGCAGTTTGTGGTTAATTACAAGATGCATGAACTTGATAAACCACTTCCAAAACTTTTGAAGATGCTGCAAACTTCCGAAGAGAGCTGGACAAAAGGAAAGAGGAATTCTGTCCTTCTAGTTCAAGGAGGAAAAGGCAAGAAAAAATTCAAGAAGGCAAAGAAGAATGGGCCTAAAGGCAAGGGTAACAGTGAGCCAAATTCCAGGTCTTCTAAGCTAAAGCCTAAAGGTGGAGTGGCCAAAGATTCCATTTGTCATCACTGTGGTGAAGTTGGCCACTGGAAGAGGAATTGCAAGCAGTATTTGGCAACCAAGAAAAAGGGTGAAGCGTCTGCTTCAGGTACAATTCTTGTAAAGACTTAAACTAATCTACAATCTCTTCAAAAGTATTCGATACTTATAATATTGCAAACCGTTGCAGGAACTGAGGAGAAGAAGTAGGAGTGTTGATCTTGAAGATGCAAGGGTTGCAGCTGAGTGGCGCATTAGTTTAAGTTTTAGTATTTGATCAATTTTCAATTTCGAATTGATGTTTACTTATTGTTTTAAGTACTATTGGTTATTTCAATAAAGCACAAATTGTTGCTCCATTTATAAGAGTATTTCATATGATCAAATATTTTGCCTCACAAGCATGCCGCAATACAACAACCGTACCAAGGCTATAAAGTACGAATATTGATTAGTTAATAAGTTTGTCACAAAATTATGAATAAAGTGATAAACACTTAGATATATGGTGAAGAATTTTGGTTTAACGCAAAATTCCCGTAGTAGTAAAGGGAACAGACTAGATCTTCTAAAAGATCAGTTTATCCCGTGTCGTCTCAAGGATCAGCCCAAGGGAAAGTTAAGCAAGACTAGTTACACAAGATTTACTCAATGAACCAAAAAGTTTTCAAAAGGTCGAATAAGCAATGGAGATTGAATTTTTATCTTTCAGAAATAAAAGGTAGGGATGTAATTATTGGTTAGGTGATGGTTCTTTTTAGAGTAAAATCACCAGTTACTTTTTCTTAAATCTTTTTACAAGTAAGTAAACATCTTTTCAATTATTTACTTAACAATCAATCCAATGTCTAAAGATCAATTATCAAACTACTGGACTTGACTTAATTAAATTCCAGATTTCTCAAGAAATATAATTTTCAAAAATAGATTTGCTTTCTCTTGATTTACAAATCTCAAGTATAAACTCTCAGTAATAAAAACTAGTAAATTTCCTTTTATAATTCAACTCAATGATTTTCTCAGAAAATTACCATCACCATTCCAATAATCACATCACCAATTAATTTAGCTACTCATAATAAAAACATCCAACACACATGCATCATAAGAAGACATTTTTCAGTTGATAGTAAAAAGTTAACAAAATTACTTCAACAAATCTGAAGAACTGAGATCCGGGCTACAATTTGCTCCGTGAAAACTCCAAAGAATAATACTAATCTAAAATATGAAAGTGGCTTTGTAAATCTAGACTAAAAATGGAGAAATTCGGGTTTTTGGGAGAAGAGGGGCGCTGTGTAGCGTGTTAAATCGGAGAGGGGGAGTGTTGTATTTATAGGATTAGACGCGAAGCGTCCAACCCCCAGTCGTCCGGATCCAAAGCGTCCAAAGTTGGACGCCTTACGCGGCCCGTCCATTCGTTGTTTGCCACGTGTCATTCTAGACGCCCAATCATCGCCAAGCGTCCAGGGGGAAGCGTCCAACCCGCAAAGCGTCCAAGGTTGGATGCTTCGGGCCTTCTCCTATGGGCGTTTTCCGCGGCTTGATCCAATTCGGGCCCAATTTTCGATTTTCACTTTGCTTCGCAGTCTCTTTCAGTTTCCTCCAAAATTCTCATGATAAAAATCTCAGTTAAAAATTTTTCTTTTTTTCAAATATAAGTAGAAAAATCAACAATCAAGACTAGACAGATTTTAAACCAATTATTATTCCTTAGAGAACAAATCAAAGATATTCTTCAGTTTAACATAAAATTATGCACTGCTTATCACTATTTTCGTGCAATAACGCTTAAAATATGTAGAATAAAATAAGAACAAAATGAACTTATCAATATATAAGGATATCTTTATAAAGTTTATAACCAAATACTTTTTCTTTAAATTTTCGATATTTAAACTTACCAATAACATTAATAAAGCACACTTGATAAAGATCAAGTGATATTAATGCCAAAGTTACATAAGAGGAAAAGAAAAAGTGATACGATCATGAAATTGACGTTCCCTCAAGCGTTATCTAGATAACGTGACTAAAATAGTTAGTCTAATAAAGAGGATTATGTAACCTTGCCAAAATACTAGTGCACCTTAGCACTAAAATACCCATTATAGACTATAGAAGGAAAGAATACTTGGAATCTGTTCCAAAATGATTCCTTCCCTAATAACAAATATTAAAGGCATGTCTCATATGGAATAAAGACACATTAACACTTGTTTTGGGCAAGTCTATCATGGATAAAAGAAGGGTTTCAAATTATCTATAACTAGTTATAGTACTTATATGTCTAGGATAAAAGTCTTGTAGAAGACTAGTGGGAGCACGATAAGTATGTTGCATATCATTGACAAAATAATTTGAAAAATTTATCAGTCATGAATGCAAATAGTCGTTATGTGCTCAAGTCTAAATAATCCATATAGATGGATCAAAGGACTAAGAATACTTTAAGTCCAGTACATATGTGGAAGATCCTTGCAAAACGAAACTTGCATAAATCTCAAGGTTAAGCTTTTCAGAGAGTCACTCTGAAAATAGGATTGCATGAAAATCGTTCCATTGAGTACCATGAGATGTGTTGAAAGGACTTGATTCATTCTAAAGGTGTGTGTGTGTCTATATATATATATATATATATATATATATATATATATATATATATATATATATATATATATATATATATAGGGGCCGGTTTCAGTGAGAATGACTCTTGGTGAAAGAAATGAGAATAAAGGATACACGTTGATATTGCAAATCTAAAGGCTCAAATTTGATCTAAAACTAGCGCCATTCACCAATTAATATGGTAAGTAAAATCAATTTAGGAATGGAATAAGTGCACAGGGGCATTATTGTACACATGAAAAAAATTGTGCGCATTAACTTCCACCTTTTTAGCCATTATGGGAGGAATTGCCATTTTAATCTTTCTTTTATAACCGTGCATATAGTTGTTCTCATATTAATGATTTCTTTTTTTCTCTATGTTTTTAATTTGTGAACCATTTATCTTTTATAATAATAAATTATGAATAACTTTTTACTATTGAATATTTTATTTTTTGCTTTATTTTAATGCATTTTCGTGGAGCAAGAGATTTATTTATTTGCATTATTTTTTTAAAACAAGTAATATGTTGTCTACAATTTTTTTATTTTTTATTTTATATTTAATCGCCTATTTTTTAATTTTCATTTCTTTCTTTACCATTTTGTATGAATATATTTATTCTCACGTGATAGGTCTTTATCTGAATATTCCATTCTAATAAATAGTTGCAATAGATATTTTAAATTATGCATGCATTCTTGATTTATCCTTTTGAATTAGTGAATAATGATTCGTGAGTAACTTTTTATGTATTGAGAAAGTTTAAGAATGCATTGTACTCTATATTTAGAACAAGTGCAATACATATTTGAAAAATAGTTTGCCTATGTGGGATTTGAACCCACATCCGTAATATATACCGCTCTACCATTTGAGCTAACAGGCAATAATTTGTTTTTTTTAAAGGACACTCATCTTGCAGTCAAACCTTTTCTTTGAACACGACACAAACTTGTATTAGCACTAAACTCTTGCATCATTCGATGTGTTTCTAACCCATTAAATACAAATTTTAATCTTTTAAAATTTGCACCATTCGACGTGTTTCTAACCCATTTTCAAATTTAACATAGAAAACTTTAAAAGCATCATCATTTGTAAAAAAAAATTCACTGTCCAAAATATATACATGCATCATATTTGTGTTAGAAGAATGTCAAGATCAAATGCATCAACTTTGATTATGAGAATTTACAATAACAGAATGCATTATCATTTACCTTTTATTATGAGAATGTGTTGCCTTCTCGTGAAAATGTGTTACGTAGTAGTGTTTCTGGGCTGAAAAACTATTGTATTCTCTCTTGGTTATTTACAATACAATGGGGAGTATATATATACAGCAAGGTTTTCCTAATAGGATTAGGAATTCTAAATAAAAGGAAGCTACCATATACAAGTCTAATACAAATCAAAGACTAATATTCTAATATTCTTTTTCCTTCTCTAACACCCCCCCTCAAGTTGGAGCATGTAGCAATGAAATGCCCAACTTGGGAATCAAGAATTCAAGCCGTGCTTTGCCCAGTGCCTTTGTATGCATATCAGCTAGCTGATGTGTAGTGGAAACATGATCTGTCTTGATGACTCCTCGCAGTAGTTCGTCTCGAACAAAATGGCAGTCGACTTCGATGTGCTTCGTACGTTCATGGAAGACAGGATTGGCTGCGATATGTAATGCTGCAGTACTGTCACACTTTATGGTCATAGGCTTCGAATGTTCAATCCCAAGAGAACCAAGTAGACTCTTGAGCCACTTTAACTCACAAGTGATCGCGGCTAGAGCTCTGTACTCAGCTTCTACAGACGATCGGGCCACAGTCGTTTGTTTCTTTGTTTTCCAGGAGACAGGAGATTTGCCAAGTTGGACAAACCAACCAGTGAGGGATCTCCTTGTCAACGGACAGGCGGCCCAGTCTGAATCACACCATCCCGTTAGCTGCAAGGTATTGCTGGCTGATAAGAAGATCCCTTGACCGGGTTGCCCCTTCAAGTATCGAACCACACCCATTGCAGCCTTCCAATGATCTTCACGAGGCTCTTGCAGAAACTAGGCCAGTGTATGAACCGCATAGGACAGCTCCGGTCGAGTGACCGACAAATAAACAAGGCGACCAACGAGGCGTCTATATTTCTCAGGGTCAGGAAGTAGTGGCGTGGTAGTAAGCGCCAAGCGATGGTTTGGCTCAAGTGGGGTGCCTAGAGGGCGTGCCCCAAGTAAGCCAACTTCAGAGATAATATCCAATGCATACTTTCTTTGACACAAGAAAATGCCTGCCGGAGTGCGCGCGACTTCGATGCCCAAGAAATATTTAAGGCGCCCCAAATCCTTCATGTGAAAACATTGGGACAAGTAGGACTTAAACTTTTCAACTTGATGAGAGTCACTACCGGCGATCACAAGGTCATCCACATAGACAAGAACATGTAGGACACCCTCCCTCTGTCGTAGCGTAAAAAGAGAATAATCGGAGATAGACTGAACAAAACCATAGTTCTTTAAGGCATGAGAGAGTTTGGCAAACCAACATCTGGGGGCTTGCCTTAATCCATATAAAGATTTCTGAAGTTTGCAAACAAGACCTGGA